TTTTTTTCCTCTCCCTTATTACCTTTCCCCCACCCTTCCCACCTTCCCTATACCTTTAGCCCTTTACTTCCTATTTCACATTATTAATTATTTCATTAGGATCCTGTGTACTGTTATAGTTTTTGCACCAAAGAAACTATTCGGTATTTCAGTTAAAGAAATCTCTGTATGAACATTAAAAATAGGGAACCCTAAAATAAAACTAAAAAGGAAAGTAAAAGAGAAAAGGCAATGGACAGCTGGTGTCTTTTAGTGTTGAATGACAGTCCACTATCTGGACGTACCAAGATTTATCCACTCAGCTACCGAGGGGTGCCTCAGTTGCTTCCAAGTTTTGACGATTGCTATAAATAGTCACGTACAGGGTTTTGTGTGGATGGATGTTTTTAAACCACTCCAGCACACAAGGAGGACAGTGGCTGGTTCCCACCCCTTTTTTATTCTAATCTCCACAGAAGATTAGATCAAGTGCTCAAAGCTCCCCACCCCCTTTTTTTAATGGTGCTGAGAATTGAAGCCAGGGCCTTCATGCTGAGCTACATCCTAGCCCTTTTTAATTTTTTAAAATTTAATTTAATTTTCTTATTGTTCCATACTTGCAGTACATAGTGATTCCATCATTGATCATAATACAGAGGAGTTGGTACATATATATAACACATCTTAATTCTCTTTAAAATTTTTGTTTTGAGAGTGAACCTCAGTAAGTCACTGAATTACCCAGGCTGGGCTCAAACTTGCAATCCTCCTGCCTCAGCCTCCCAGAGTGCTGGGATCACAGGCATGTGCCACCACACCCAGCTTCAAAACTTTCAGCAGGAAAAAGTGTTAAACTAGACTTTAATCTTTTGTTTCTATTGTCTTAATTTTTGTTATTATCTTCTATTTATGGCCGGTGAGACTGGTTTTTCATTTATGAGGATCTTGTCACTTTGTTTTAAAAGTAGATTTCCCTGAGTGAAGATGATTACTTAGATGCATTTGAATGTTTTATTTTATTTATTTTTTTGGTACCGGGGAATCGAACTTGGGCCCCTTGCACTTATGAGTTTTGAATAGTTTAAAGACAAAAACCTAGTGAATAAGGAATTAGGGGAGTCCCACCCTCCAGTCTCCTGCCTCCCTTGCTCTGTCCTTACAGAGATCCCCAGGAAATCAAACGGACGGCCACACACCTCTCCTGGCACCCGGATGGCAACCGGAAGTTGGCAGTAGCATATTCTTGTTTGGATTTTCAGCGGGCACCTGCAGGCATGAGCCACGAGTCCTACATCTGGGACCTGGGTGAGAAGCAGAGGGGTCCTGCTGGCCACAGAGGGCGGAGGAGCCGAGCAGAGGCGGCAAATTCCAGATTCTCCTTTCTTTCCTCCCTCTCCCCAACCTCTCCTGCCCACCTGCAGTACTGGGGATCAAACCCAGGGCTTCACACATGCTCAGCAAGCGCTCTATTGCCACATCCCAGCCCCCCAATTCCTGATTCTTTATCTGGAGCATTGAAACCTGACACCTTGAGGCGCCAGTTATTGGCTCCTAAGCATTTCAGAGCAATGCCTAGCAGACGGAGAGGTGCGCAAGCGGAGGGAAGGGAGCTCATGCTCCAGCCCATCTTTCTTGTCACTTGCCCTTCGCTTGCGGCTGGCAGGGGCAGTGGGTCACCTGCAGGCCCAGACCACAGTGTCCAGGGCTTGCCGGGCAGGAGCCTGGCGGGGGGGCTCTCAGCCTTCTATCCACAGCCCCACTGTTACAGGAAGTGGGTGACACTGAACTTGGCTCACGCAGCTCGGTGTGTCCTTAGGGTAGTCCCCCAGGGTGGACGCCAGCTCACCCCCAGGCCACAGACCTGGGGTAAGGTAGTTGGGGAAGAGCTGACTTATGTAAAAACCTTTGGGTCAAAACCTCCTTTCACACCAACCCCAGAAAGTGGACTAGAGCTGGAATTAAACATGTGCATGTACCCTACTCTTAACCACCCCCCTCCCAAATAAAGCCATGACCAGAATTCAGGCTTAGGGACCCAGAGATGCAGCCTGGAGAAGGAACAGAGTGGCTTCTATCCCTGCCTGCCTGCCTGTAGGAGGTAAACTAATTGACACTGTCTTTTTCTGTGCAGGCCTGATGAAGTCATTTCCCCCCTTGCTTTACAGAAAACCCCAATAGGCCTGAAATGGCCCTGAAGCCATCTTCTCCACTGGTAACCTTGGAGTACAACCCCAAAGATTCACACGTGCTCCTGGGGGGCTGCTACAATGGGCAGATAGGTAAGGGGGAACCCAGTGCTCAGCCAGCTGCCAGACCACGGGGGTGGGCCTTCTGGTCGCTGACCACCTGGGTGCTGTGAGTTGAGTTCTGCCGACACTCGGTGAGGTCTCCAGCTGTAATCATTCAAGCAAGTCTAACATTAGTTCAAAAGAAAAAGTTCCTGAAAACTACAGTTCAAGTAGAATCGAGGAACAGTCAACTAGGGACAGCCATAGAGAGATGAGCCCCCTGAGGAGTCCCATGTTGGGAGAGGCATGGGGGAAACCTACATGGTAATGGGTGTGGTGATACTGGCCTCATAGAAGGAGTTGGAAAGAGCCCCCCACCTTCTGCTCTTTTGCAAGAATTTGCACTAATTGTTTCTGTGTTTGAAGAATTCACCAGGAAGGCCATCTAGTCCCAGGCCTTTTTTTTTTTCAGTACTAGGGACTGAATCCAAAGGTTCCATATCACTGAGACACATCCCAGCCCTTTCAATGTATTATCTTGAGTCAGAGTTTCATGAATGCCCAGGCTGGCCTCATGCTTGCCATCCTCCTGCCTCAGCCTCCTGGGTGGCTGGGCATACACATCACTATGCCTGACCTGGGCTTTTCTGTGTGGCAGGTTTTAGAATTACTAATTCAAGTTCTTCGCTCACTATAGATCTCTTCAGACTTTCTGTTTCTCCTGAACCTATTTTGGTAGTTTCTGTCTTTCTAGGGGCTTTTCCATTTCACTTACATTATGTAATTTGTTGGCGTCTAATTGTTCATGGTATTCCTTTATAATCATTTTCATTTCTGTAAAGCTGGTTGTCACATCTTCTATTCTGCTCCTGGTTTTTGTAATTGGAGCCTTCTCTTACTCCCCACCCCTTCATCAGTCCAGCTAAATGTCTTGTCAATTTTGTTTCAAGAACCAACTTTGACTTTATCGATTTTCTCAGACTTTTTTTTTTTTTTTTTTGTACCCGGGATCAAAGTTGAGACCCTGCACTTGCAAGGCAGGTGGCGGCACCACGGAGCTAAATCCCTAGCCCTTTCTTAGACTTTCAGAAATTTCACTTCACTTATTTTTTTCATTCTAACTTTTATTATTTCCTTCCTTCTGTATATTTGGGGTTTAATTTGCTTTTCTTTTTCTTATTTCTTAAGGTGAAAGTTTAGAACAGTTTTTTGTTTCACTTGGTTTTTTGCTTTTGTGGAGCCGATGATCAAACCCTAGGCCTCGAACATACAAGGCAGGAGCTCTGCTTCCGAGCTGCAGCCCAGCACTTGCTTTGGGTTTGTTTGTCTCTGTTTTGTTTAATACAGGCATTCACAGCCCTGAATCTTTCCTCTGTGACTGCTCGAGCTGCACCCGTACCTTGTGGTTTGTCATGTTTTCGTGTTTGTTTATGTCAGTGTATTTCCGGCTTCCCTTCTGCTTTCTTCTTTGACTCATTGGTTCTTAAGAGTGTGTTTGTTTTCCAGCTATCTTGGAATTTTCCAATTCTCTGCTAGTTACTGATTTCGAGTTTTCTTCCATTTTAGTCAGAAAAGCTACTTTTTGTGACTTCAATCATCTTACATTCATCAAGGCTTCTTTTGCGGCTCAGCACTCTGCCCCTCCTGGAGAACATCGCTCTTGTCCCTCCCGAGAAGGACATAGAATGTATGCCCGGTGCAGCAGTCCGTAGCTGCTCCCTCCTGAGTGTGACTGAGTTTTGGGCAGTGACATCACCAGCGCAGGCATGTGGCCTCTGGTGCTCAGCTTCTCAAGGCCCCTGTGGACGTCTGGTGCTCCGGCTTTGCCGTGGAAGCTTTCTGGCCAGGCCCCTGTCTGTCCCACCAGTTATCCACAGCTTCAGTTTCCACAGTTGTGCTCTGAGGAAAAGACTTGCACTGAACAGACTCTGAGTAAAGTGAGGTACAGACAGCTTTCCAGGACGGGTGCTCTAGGGAGCTGCTGGACAGGCCAAGTCAGGGCAGGCTTTGGGTCACGGACTTTGAAAGAGCTCATCCAGTCCCTTTGCTCCTGCCTGTGGCTGCCAGGCTACACCAGCAGTGCAGGCTGTTACTTTTCTTTTCAGTGCTTTTTCTTTTTCAGTATTAGGGACCAAGCCCAGGGTCTTCATGCTGAACTGCATTCCTGGCCTTTTAAAATTTATTTCTGTAGCTGTTTTTGTTTTTTTGAGACAGGATCTCATTATGTAGTTCAGAGTGGCCTTGAACCTAACTGTGTAACCCAAGCTGGCGTTGAGCTCATGGTGATCCTCTTGCCTAGGCCAGCTGAATGCTGGAGTTATTGGCCTGTGCTACCATGCCTGGTTTCACCCTTTACTTTTATTTTTTATTTTGAGACAGGATCTTACTAAGTCACTAAAGTACCCAAGCTAGACTCAAACTTGCAGTCCTCCTGCCTCAGCCTCCCAGACTGCTGGGATTACAGTTATGTACCACTATGCCAGGCTGGGATGTTGCTTTTCTAGGGTACCATGGAACTGGAAAGCATATATCTTAGCTAGAGCTAGTTGAAGTGCCACGAGAGTCATTCTTATCAAGATTTAACCATTCTTCTTGATTTGATTTGATTGATTGATTTTTTGTACCAGGGATTGAACTCAGGCCCTTGCTCTTTCCATGCAGGCACAGTGCCACTGAGCTACATCCCCCGCCCATCAACTATTTTTCTTGAATACCTCTACAGATTGCTGTGAGCCTTTGGCTAATTTACAGAATGCTGACACAAATTGATTCTGAACATCTTTTGCCAGGTTTCAAATTGTTACTATGGAAAACCTGGGGAAGTCCTTACTCTGCTCTTTTTATTGATGGCCCACCTGGAGAGCTTATTTTAAAAAATTCCTAGTAAGGCTGGCATGGTGGCGCACGCCTGTAATCCTAGCACACAGGAGGCTGAGGCAGGAGGATCACTGCAAGTTCAAGGCCAGCCTGGGCTACATAGTGAGTTCAAGACCAGCCTGCTGGGTTACATAGTGAGATCCTGGCAGAGCTGCTCCGTACATTGCAGCCAGGAAGCAGAGAGGGAAGAGACAGAGAGGAAGGGGTCAGGACCAGATATGGTCTCCAAGCCCCACCAGCCACATGCAGAAGCGTACTTTACTAATCTCCGCAGAGGCTCTCAAGCCAGCCAGGCTTAACACAGGTTAACCGTCACAGGCCTGCCAGGGGCTCCCCATTCTGTCCACCTTCTCTTGCTCTTCGTCTTCAGGAGTAGGAGCCGGGACAGCTGAGAACTTCTCCGAAGCCCTCTGTGGCCAGCTGCCCTGGGCCTTCTCAGCCCCGGTCTCCCTCCCAGACCTGCTGCCTCCTCCTCCCGAGACGGTGCTCAGGCCGTGGAATAGACACCGACTCCCATGCGTTTCCCTGCCCGATTACCTGGGTGCCTGCGCGCCCAAGACTGCCCCGAGCGCCTTTGCCATGATCTGTTCAGGAGCCTGCAGCACTCATTATTCCTAACGCCTTTCAGTGGCTTTTTGTGAGGCTCGGAGCAGCCAGGGCTCTTGGCCCTGCTGCTGTAAGACGGGGCCTCAGAAGGGGTGTCTGGGACCGCTGAGTCCCACAGTGAATCATGCTTTACCAAGCAGGGCAAGTTGAGCCAAGAAAACACAAGAGAACGCCCCGGACTTGGGGGATGTTAAGTCAAAGCTTATGAACGAAGTATTTCGGTTATTTCACAAAACCAGCCTTCCTGGAAAGGGCTGTGCGCGAGAGGGCGGGCCCTCCTCCTACACTCCGGGGAAAGGGAAACACATCGATCAGCCCAGAGAGCAGAGAAGCCTCGCATCTTTCCTTGCCAAGCACTTAGAAAACCTGGCTCCTCCTGGGGGTCTTTCTGGAGCCAGCAAAGGCGCAGAGGAGAAAAGGGAGGGAGTGGATTTAGCAGGCAAATTTGCCTCCAGGGGCCTCTCACGCCCCCCCCAAGGGAGGCTCAGCTGTCCCCTCTGCCTGGCTCTCTGCATCCCAAGGCGCAGCCTCCGCTTAGCTCCTGTCACCTCCCCTCTGCAGCAGCAATCACAGGCCAGGCTGTACTCTCCAGTCCTCTCCGGACTCCCGGTGGACAGAGCCTGGCCTGTTCCCACAGCTTCCCCAGGACCCAGGGTGACGCACAGCTTAGGGCTGTAACGGAAGAATGAAGCTCGCTCCTTGGAAATCTCTCTGGAGATTTCTTAGGTGCTGCAAAAACCTGCACACCTACCAAGCCCAGAGAAGCAGCACTCCTCCATCCCTATCCCCGCCTCTCCTTACCTCCTTTGTCTCCCTCCTCATCAGCCTTCTGGGACACCAGGAAGGGCAGCCTGGTGGCAGAGCTGTCCACCATTGAGTTCAGCCATCGAGACCCCGTGTACGGCTCCATCTGGCTGCAGTCAAAGACAGGCACTGAGTGCTTCTCGGCATCCACAGATGGGCAGGTACCACCTGGCCAGGCCCCTGAGGGCAGAGGGCTTGTGCCTCCCCTGGTTCCCACCAGGATTGCTGTGGGAATGTTCCCTTTCCCATTGCATTTTTATGGTGACAGTGGGTAAAACATGCACGTGGAGCAAAATCTCAAAGGTGCAAAAGGGCAGACAGTGGAATGCCTTCCTTTCTCCTCTGTCCAACCTCCCTGCTTCTACCTGAAGGATGGGGTTGGTTTCCTTCTTCTGCCTTCAGATAGTCTCTGCCCATTCTGACTCTTTCTGCACACTTCCCATAGTGTCCTGCACCGGATGTGTTCATTTAGCATATCTCAGAGAGAGTTTCATACCCCACAAACCACTTCACTGTGCCTGCTAAGGATTGGAGTGTAGGGGCATATTATAATTTATTTAAACAGATTTTATATTTTGCCATTATCAGAAAAAGCATAGCATGAGTGTATTTGTACCTAGATTGTTACACACACACACACATACGGGAAGATCTGCAGCTCCCATTCCTGGCAGTAGGACCTTTAGTTCAAACTGTATGTCCATTTTTCACATTGCTAGATTTTTCTACATGTGGAGAACTGGAAGAACCCACACTCCCAGGTCGGTACCTGGCGATTTTGATGCCGTAAGGTTGGAGTGTTTTTGCCAGTCTTGCCAATGACGCTGATGACCAGTTGGGTTTGGGACCCATGGCCCTCAGCAGCGATTCTCAAAATGTGTTTTGTTCTCATAGGCAGGTCAGGGACAGAAGCCACGGGAACCGAGGGACCTTGAGGTCTCAGAATCACCCCTGCCTCCTACAGGTCATGTGGTGGGACATCCGCAAGATTAGCGAGCCCACCGAGGTGGTGATCCTGGACATCACCAAGAAGGAACAGCTGGAAAACGCCTTGGGGGCCATCTCCCTGGAGTTTGAGTCTACCTTGGTGAGTGTTCCTTGCTCTCCCTTCCCTGACCTTCCTTGCCAGGGTAAGGACAGGCCAAGGCTAGTACAGCAGATGCTTGTGGCTCCAGGCACAGCCCCAGCCCCAAAAAGGCCCTTCCTCCACCTGTGTGGTCTTTATAGCAGACTTCCAGAAGGGGGCAGCAGAGCTCCTTGAGGAAGGAAGCCATTCTAGTCTCCAGCCTGTCAGTTTGGCCAGCAGCCCTGCTGAAGAAGAGAAGACAGATTTAACAGGACTCAGTGGGAGAGCCCTGACCAGGACCCAGACTGCCCCCTGCTTCACATAGGGTCCGGGGCTGGTCACTTCCTTTCCCATGGGGAAGAAAGAAGGTGTTGGGGAGGAAAAGGAGATTTGAGGGAGGTCCTTGGAAAACCAGAGCACAGACATTGAACTTAGTAACTAAGAAGGAACAAGAAAGGAATCTCCAAACTGAGCAATAATGTTAATGTGTCAGAGGAGGGAACCTTCTAGAAGCACCAAATGAAAATTCCCTCTGTAATGCAAGACAAGAAAGTGACTTTTCCAGCTGGTTTCTTGGCTTGGGCTGGATCCTGGTTTACATCTTTTTTGTTTGTTTGTTTTGGTACTGGGGATGGAACTCAGGTCCTTGCACTTGTGAGGCAGGTGGCAGAATCACTGAGCTAAGTCCCCGACGCTGGTTTATATCTTGTTGAAGCTGAGGCCTGGTCCCCAGTTGGAGGTGTCACTCGTTGCCTTCGGGTCATGTGACATCACTGCTAGGACACTGGGAGCTCTGGCCTCACACCTGCCCTGAGTGTCCCCATTGAAGGCTGGAGAATGAACACTGGTGGGATGAGATGCAGCGCAATTCAGCTGACCCCCAACATTGGTCAAGGCACTGGATGGAGACTCGGAAAAGCATTCTGACTTGCATGCTACCCCAGGCCATGTGATGGACATAATGACCACACCATGAAGAGCGCTCATGATTCCATGCGTGTCCCTCACTGAGTACACAGTACGCTGGACAAAGTGAGCCTGTGTAACCATCCATACCCACCACGTGAGGTGATGTCATTATCCCCGCTTTCCTGATAACTAGGATGAGTGCCAGCGAGGCTGTTACGTCCCCCTTCGCAGGGTGAGGCTGGACTCAAACCCACACCCCTCCATAAAGCCCGAGGCCAGAGATGTTCCCAGCCTTGTGGCTCTGGACGCCCTCCTTCCGGAAAAGCTTGGTACAGGCCCTGAGGGGCTCGACTGATGACTCACCCCTCAGGGCCTCTCCAGTCTGCTCTCCTCACTTTCCTTTCACACACAGCTTTGTTTGTATGTTTGTTTGACGAATGTATTGGTACGTTTTAGGTGTACCTTACGGTCACGTTCATCATTAGGAGTTTGTGCCTGTCTTGATTTTTTTCCCCATTCCCCTGTCCTCCCTTTGCTTTCCTGTCTTTCCTTTCCCCTGCCCCTCTTCCCTAGTTCCCCTTCCCCTTTGAACATCTTCTTCCTACTTTAAAATGTCTGTTAGGAATCTTGGCCCTCGTTTACACTTTCAGTTTCTCACACCAGAGAAATAATTTGTTGTTTATGCCCGTGTGCCCTATTTATTTCACCTAAGAGTATGGCCTCAGTGTGCATCCAGATGCTTTTAATTCTTTTGGGAAGATACCCAGAAGGGGAATAGCTGGGTCATATGGGGCCTGTAATCCGAGTTTTTTCAGATATCTGCATACTGATTTCTACAGTGGCTGCACCAGTCTGCACTCCCACCAACAGTGGGGAAGGGTTCCTTTCTCCCCACAGCCAGCATTAGTTATCAGTTAATACCGTGATAGCAGCCATTCTTTCTGGGGTGAGGTGGAATCTCAACATTGTTCTCATCCGCACCTCTCGAATGACCAGTGATGGGGAACATTTTCTTCATATGTTTATTTGCTGTTTCTACTTCTTCATCTGAGAAGTGCCTGTTCATTTCAGATGCCCATTTTGTGACTGGGCCTTTAAAGTTGGGAGGTCTGATTTTTAAAAGTTCTTTAAATACTCTAGATAGTAGACCTTTGGCTGAGGAACAGCTGGTAAAATTTTTTTCCCCATATTGTAGATTGTCTCTTCTCTCCCTCTGTTGGTGGTTTCCCTTTCTGTGCAGAAGTTTGTTTTTTTTTTTTTTTTTTTTTTTTTTTTTTTGTACCTGGGATCGAACTCGGGTCCTTGTGCTTGCGAGGCAGGCAGCAGAATCACTGTGCAGAAGCTTTTTAATAAAATGAGATCCCACATGTTGATTCTTTGTGCTGGGTCCCATGTGACTGAGATTTTGTTCCTAAAGTCTTTTCTTACACCAATGATGCAAAACTTTGTAGTTTATGTAGGGGCTTCCTGCTTCCCTCCCCCACTTCACTCCCTTCTGCCTTTCCTTCCTTCCTTCCTTCCTTCCTTCCTTCCGTGTGGGGAGCAGGATGGGACCCAGGGTCTGTGCATGCTCAGTAAGCATTTTACCACTAAGCTACATCTCCGGTTTGCATGTTTTTAAAACTGTGCTTCAAAAAAAGACACACAAAATGTACCATTTTAACAAGTTCAAAGTGCTCCATTCAGCAGTGTTCACTACATCCACACTGTTGTGCAACCATCGCCATTCCCTGACCTTTTTTATTATTTTTTTTTATTTTGAGACCGAGTCTCACTAAACTGGGCTGGGCTCGAACTTGCCAACCCTCCCGCCTCAGTCCCCAAGAGTTCTGGGGTCGTAGGTGTGCACCACCATGCCGGACTCAGAACATTTTTTCATCTTGCAAAACTGAAACTCTGTGCCCATTGAACAACTTCCCCCTTCCCTCCACCCTCGCCCCTGGCAACCACCATTCTACTTACCGTTTTTTTCTGAGTTTGACTATTTTAGGAACCTCTTATCACTGGAATTATAAAATATTTGTCCTTTCTGTGACTGGCTTATCACACTTTATGTAATTCCCTTAAGGCTCACCCACGCTAGAGCGTGTGTCAGAATTCTCTTCCTTTTGAAAGCTGAATTTTATTCCATCATACCTATGCACCAATCGTGTTTAGTCATTCATCTGCCTAGGGACACGGGTTGCTTCCACCTTTTGGCTACAGTGGCTAATTCCACTATGGACTTGGGTGTACACTGGCCTCCCAGTTTTGGAGGGACTTTTGGAAGGACTTCAGCACTCACAGGCTGGTGTTCTGTTTTGTTTTCTGTTGTTGTTGTTTTTGGTACAAGGGTTCGAACTCAGGACCGTGTACCTGCGAGGCAGGTGGATGGGCTGGTGTTCTCAAGGCCCTGTGTCCCCTCCCAGAGAGGAGTGGGTTGTGGGGAAGTCACTGGGGCCTGGGCTGGGGACTCTTCTCAGGCCACATTTCAAGTTATTTACAAATATCCTTCAAACTGCTGCTCACACAGGGCACTGTTCCAAGAGACAAATATCCCTGCCCTCAAGGAGCTGGACTTCTAATTGTGGGGCACAGCAAAAAACAAAGGAAACACTTGTTCTAGAAGGTGGTGGGGGCTGTGGGGACAGAATCGGAGAGCAGAGTAAGGCGGCTTGGGAGTGGTGAGTTGGTTGAGGGGAGCAGTGTAAATATGAAAATGAGGGCTGGGGATTTAGCTCAGTGGTTCTGCCGCCTGCCTTACAAGCACAAGGACCCGAGTTTGATTCCCAGTACCAAAAAAAAAAAAAAGAAAAAAGAAAGAAAAAGAAACCGAGCAGCCTGGGAAGGTGAGATGTGAGCAGATCCCTGAAAGCAGTAAGAACTCACCAAGCAGATGACTGAGGGGAAAGTGTCCCAGGCAAGGGGAACGAGGCAGTGGTGTGTGTACCTGTGTGCTTGAAGACGCTGAAGGTAGCACACGGTGCCCCAGAACCTTCTGGGTTAACTACTGTACATGTAATCTCTCTTGCTGAGGGCTTCAGCTCGGCCAGCCCTTCCCCCTGACCCCCGGTGGCTTCCCAAGAGTCGGGTGGCCACCCGCTCTGAGTGCCCAGCAGACTGCTGGGGCTACTGTCACTGTTCCTCCAGATTAGAGTCTGCCTGCCTTCTCAATGAGCCAGTCCACCCTGCATCCTGATCTGAGCTCATTTACTCGGTAACATTCAGGATGCTTAGGGCAAATGCTTAGTGGATGCTTCGTGAGGGGGGCTCCTGGTGTCCTCCAGTGACCAGAGGAGCTAGGAGTGCTTCAGTGAGCGTGTTTCCCAAAGCAAGGGCCTTTGGAGGCTGAGAAGAGCGGGACAGCTGTTTTGTGGGAAGCACAGTCTGAGCAGAGCTTAAAACAAGGTGTTTTCTAGCATTGCCAACCCGTGGGCAGGCTGCTGGCTATGCCAGTCATAGCCTATGAGTTGATGTCCCATGGCCCTTCCTCTCTTGTCACCCCCTCCATAGCCAACCAAGTTCATGGTGGGCACTGAGCAGGGCATCGTCATTTCCTGCAACCGCAAGGCCAAGACATCGGCCGAGAAGATTGTGTGTACTTTCTCGGGCCACCATGGCCCCATCTACGCCCTTCAGAGAAACCCCTTCTACCCAAAGAACTTCCTGACGGTTGGGGACTGGACGGCCCGCGTCTGGTCTGAAGACAGCCGGGAGTCATCCATCATGTGGACCAAGTAAGGGAGGGACGGGGGGACTGGGGACAGGAGGAAAAGGCACAGAGGGGGCCAGCTCAGAGCCTCTGTAAGTCCGCCTGTAATAAAATTTAGCAAAGAAAAATACAGGATCCCTAGATAAATCTGAATTTCAGAAAAGAATAATGATTGTTTTTTTAGTATGAGTATGTCCCATGCGATATCTGGGATATAGCTGTATGAAAAATTATTTATTGTTTGTCAAAAATCTCCAGAGTTCTTTGGTATTGGTCATTTCTCCTACCGTAGCTTAACTGTCCACTCAGTTGCAAAGGAGACTGGGAAATGTAGTCTCTGGTGTGGCCACCATGGCTATGGTTGTACCCCTATAGGATAAAGGAAGACGGGGTTTAGTGGGAAATTCTGTCCCTACTGTGTGCATGTGTACGTGCATGACTACACTTGCTCATGCACACATGCGCAGAGGTACATGTGTGTGTGTTTAATGTTCAGCATTCGCAAAATGTTAGAAAACCCAAATCAGACTAAGTAGGAAGTATACCCCTCCCTGATACCCTGATATGCCCTTTCCTGGACTTGCCCCTCCTCTGACTGCTTCCGTGTGTCCAGCGGCTAGGCCCACAGGAAGCCCCCTATCCAGAGCCCTGCAAAGAGCAGCCCGAGGGGCTGGCGGGGCTGGAAGCTAAACCCAAGGCAGAACGTGACGTGAGGAACCGGCTCCCGCAGGTACCACATGGCTTATCTCACGGACGGTGCCTGGAGCCCCGTGAGGCCGGCAGTGTTCTTCACTACCAAGATGGATGGGACCCTGGACATCTGGGACTTTCTGTTCAAGCAGTCTGACCCTGCCCTCAGCCTGAAGGTCACGTGCATCCCCCCCACATGCCTCTAGGCCCTTTCTGTACGGGCATGGGGCTAGGTGTGAGTGTGGTGTAGTGTAAGCATCTGTGCTCCACTGTGTGTGGCCGGGTGTGTCTGCGTCCAGGCCGCTCTAGGTTATTCACACAGTGGCCAACTGCAGCTCCTGCCCGGAGAGCCTGTGCTGCTGCAGAGGTAAGGGGACTCGGCACCCTGGTGACATGGCTGAGTCACCCTGAGGAAATTAAAACAGACCGCCACCGCTGCCCCGAGCTGTGTCCTTTCAGGCCCTTGGACAGGTCTCTGGGCAGCTGGCCCTTCAAACCTGAGCTCCTGTTGGCAAAGCCATGGTTGGGGCTGTGGCAGGCCATGAGAGTTCCACAAGTTGGATGGGACTGGACTGAAATGAGGCTGGAGCTCTGAGTTTGCACTTCACCCTGTGGGGTAGGGTGTTGTGGAGGGTGTCTGATTAGAAGTGAGGAGCTAAGCCTCCCCACATGCCATTAGTTAAACAAACATGACTTTGCCTGCCCCCCCGGGGCTGCTTGGACCCTCCAACAGGTGTGTGACGAGGCCCTCTTCTGCCTCCGGGTACAGGACAACGGCTGTCTCATTGCCTGTGGCTCCCAGCAGGGGACGACCACCCTGCTGGAAGTCTCCAGTGGGCTCTCCACCCTCCAGAGGAATGAGAAGAACATAGCTTCTTCCGTAAGTACAGGCCCGGCAGCAGGGTCCCCACATGTCCTGACCTGGCCCTGTCTCAGAGAGCAGCCTCAGCAGAGAGAAACTTGCCCCCTCCTTTCCACTTCCTGGGAAGAGGTACACAAGTTTGATGGGGTCGCCGGGGGCCCTAAATTGAGCTCTGGGGTTGGGCCTTAGCAGGGTTCACCTGCCCTTGCTCAGTACTCTGCAGCTCAGGGGCCCTGGGCAAGTCACTTTGTCTCCCCAGGCTTTGGTTTTCCAGCTGCACATCAAATGGTTTAACTGGGTCCATTTGTCCAGTTTCAAACAGCACACACACTCCCCAGGGCCCAGGTGTGCACCGTGGAATGGAAGGCCCTGATGCTGAGGTCTGGGAGAGCTGCTTGGCTCTGCCTGAGGCAGGGCAGCTTCCCCCCTGAGCTGGTCCTTTGTTGGGCCCACAGCCACCATGACCCGTAACCAAGCCCACCAGAGGTTCTGCACCCTGTGGTCTGTGCACTCGGTGTCCTCGGACGGAGTAGCTTGGTGTCCTGGCTCCAGCCTCTGATGCCGATATTCAGCCCTCCCTCCTGGACGCCAGCCCTGTGTGCAGGGTGGGGAGAACTGAGGAGCTGCCCAGCCTGGCCCCGGGCCGGAGTTGCTCATTGCCCACCCCTTCCATTGGCCTCGGTTCCACTGTGGCCCAGATATTTGAACGAGAAACCCGGCGGGAGAAGATCCTGGAGGCCAGGCAGAAAGAGATGCGGCTGAAGGAGAAAGGCAAGGCGGAGGGCAAGGACGAAGACCAGAAGGACGAGGAGCTGGCCACCAACCTGGAGGAGATGGTCGCCAAGGCTGAGCAGGAGTTCTTCGACATCGTCTTCACGGAGCTGAAGAAGAAGGAGGCGGAGGCCATGCATAAGACAGCAAAAGCCGTAAGGGCCTTGGCGGGGCCTGGGTGGGCTGAGGGCTGGGAGCCACCTGTCACCGGCTGGCTGACCTCCCAGGTGTCCTCATGTGAGTGGGAAAACTTACTCTCTCTCAAGTAGTCCTGTCTCCAAGCAGGCACTGTGCCCCACGCCTCCTGGGGTGCTGCAGTCCCATCCGTGGCAGGCGCTCTGAGCATGCGTGGCACCACCTGGATGAGGGTCCTGGGGACCAATGAGCTTTGCAAGGCGCGAGAGCCTTGACATCCAGGCAGGACAGGGCTACGGCGTTCACCTGGGTGCCACTCTCTCGGTACCCAGCCTGGTGTCAGGAGTATGACTTGGATCAGCCCCTCTGCCTTTGGCCCGGGTTCTAAAGCACTTTCTAGCTGTACCGACCAGGCAGGAAGCCTGCTCTTCTCGGGTCCTCATTTCCTGTTTGGAAAGTGAGGGGATCAAGCTGTGATGGTGGTGTCTTGTCACCTTCTGGGTCCTCTTCCGTACCAAAGGGCAGAGGAAGGAAAAGACCCTGTCCCTCTGTGTCACTGCACTTAGGGGTACACAGATAAGATGCCAAGATGGAACAGGGTGTGGTGGCACATGCCTGTCAACCCAGCACTTTAGGAGGCTGAAGCAGGAGGATTGCAAGTTGGAGCCTAGCCTGGGCCACTTAGTGTGAGACCCTGTCTCAAAATAAAATTTAAAGAGGGATGGGGATGTAGCTTCAAGTCCACCATGACAGAGAAATGACCAAGCCAGGGTACTCTAGGATCCACTTTTATAAGCAAGACTGGCAGCATAATGAGGAAAGGATACAAAATAAAAATGTGGGCCTCTTTTTTAAAAACTTAGAATTCCAAGGTGATGACAGCATAGCTTACAGCAAGTGTGGGACCTTCTAAGACCTGGCCCTGCATGGCCACCTGGAGCGCTCGCCCAGGGAGCCAGCCCTGCTTTGGCGATTGAACGGCAGAGACAGTTCCCAGTCACTGAGGAGGGAGGGGGCGGAAGTCCCTGGTTCCCCTGCCGATGCCGCTCTCCTCTTCCTTCCTCTGGCCCTGAGGACGGGGTGTGGGTTTGTGGTGCAGACGAGGATAGGAGCTGCTTTATTCCCACGTTCTCTGAGCAGTGCCAGTGGTGCAGAGGCGACTAGAGTCCGAGCTGTCCCAGCAGCCCAGGGTTCCTCCCACCCCTCACCTCGCGTCCAGTCAGCCCTGCAGAGGCCAGAGGTAACCTTGGTCGCCTTTTGTGGTGCAGTGTGGCCTACAGATACTGCGCTGGCGCCCTGCCTCACGAAATGTGGTGATCACAGCAGCATGGATCTTTTCATAATTTTACTTTATTTTGCAGCCCTGGGAATGGAACCCAGGGCCTTGCTCATGGTAGGCAAGCGCTGTACCACTGAGCTCCATCAGCTCAAACACTCTAAATGAGGAACTGAGCCTCAGAAGATTTGGCCCCTGCTGTCTTCCACATACACCACCCGCCCCTGCAGCTAATTTGAAAGCACTGCCCTAGGCCAAATCTCCCCCACACTGTCTCTAATACTAGCCCAGTCCTGCAACATGTCACGTCTGCCTCAGGGGTAAAGAAGCCGGGAGCACAGAAGGAACTGACCCAAGGTAACCCAGGCTGCACGCAGCAGAGGCAGGACTGTGCAATTTCCCAGGATCCTCTAGGCCCTCACCCATATGGAGCTGGTACCATCAGGGTACTTGGCTCTCGGGGCTTCAGGCAGCAGGCTGGCTGCTTTCCACCTCTTGGGTTCACATCTGGGGGGTGGGGAAGACCTTCCCCTCACCAACATTTCTCCTGTTCTTCCCCAGCAAAAGAAACAGAGTTTGGAGATGGACGAGGAGGCGGAGGAAGACAATGTCGGGGAGGAAGGAGGAGGCGAGGAAGAGAAGTCAGCCTAAGTGGACCCTGCGTGTCCCTTCTGTGCCTTCTTGGTACTGCCCTGGTGTGACCTTGCAAGTGGGGAGCTGAGCTTTTCCTTAAAGCATGATTGTGGAGAGCACTTCGGGGCACTGACCGCCTCCGCCCTACGAATCACTGGACCACACTGGAGCCCAGTCCTGTGCCACCCTCACAGAGAGGAAAGTGGCAGGGCTGGGACCACTAGGAGGCCCACTTCACGGAGGGCACACACAGCCTTCGGCTCTGGTCCTGGGTGTCCCCCTGGCTACCACTCCTTCCAGGCTCCCAGTCAGCCTCTTCTTTTGGAAGCTCACAGCCTCAACCCAGGCTCTCCCTGGCCACAACAGCCTTGCAAAGCCCTGCGGAGGGGAAAGGCTTTTTACTCTTCCCTCCCCACCCTCCTCACCCACCTAAAGTCTGTCCCAAGTGCCTTTCCACACAGCCGCATTAGAGGCCTCTTAGCCTGCTGCCCCCGAAAGCCTGGGAGGAGAGAGCTTATTCACGAGCACCCACAGGCTTTCTGTTTCCTCCATTCTGGTACCATTAAATTAATAGCAACAATGCCAGCAGTCGGTGCTTGCTACACACCCTGTGCTAAGAGCTTTTCGTGTTTTCTCCTTCACGTCACTCTTCACGGAGTCCCTGGAAGTTTCCTGCTGACCTTATTCTGCAGAGCAGGATACAGAGGTTCAGGAGAGGTGTGCAGACTTGCCCGGGTCACAGAGCTGGAGAGGGGCAGGGCAGGGTGGGAGCCCACATAGCTCACTTCCTGTCCTGCAGAGCAGTCAACTGTGGCCCCCAGGGCAGTGGGTGCTGCACAGGACCCTCAGGGTCTCCAAGGTGGGCAGTGAGCTGGGCTGCTGCTCCAGGAGGTGCCCTGAAGCCACAGCTCAACTGAACAGTTCGGAGGAGTGCAGGCACCTTGGGGCCAACTTTGCTCCAGAGATCCCTGACTGTCACTGACTCCGGGACTGTCAGGTGATCCAAAGTGTCCTTTAAAAGAGCTTTTGTAGCTGGACAGGTAGGACATGTCCGTAATCTCAGCACTCAGGGAAGCTGAGGCAGGAGGACCGCGAGCCCAGCCTGGGTAACTTAGCGACTGAGTAAGACCCTGCCTTAAAATTTAAAAATTTAAAAAGGGCTGGGGCCAAAGCTCAGTGCAAAGGCAAGGGGTTCAATCCCCAGACTGGCATAACAGTAATAAGAATACTAATTAAAAGGACTGGGAATGTAGCTCAGTGATACGATCAAAATTCCATCCCTAGGGCTGCAAAACAAAAACAAGACTTAAGGATTTTGTTGAGAAAGGACTCAGAGCCATCCCTTGTGCCCATAGTTTGGGTGGGGAGAAGCACCGAGTCGCAGACTTTGGCTAGATTTTGATACAAGCAGTAATCACATGTCACATTTATTGGTGCTTGACTGTCACAGAGTCCAGGAATGACCTCACCACCCTCAATCCACATGTCTCAGGTGTGGCAGATGACAGTGGGAGGGAGGCACTTTCTGGGGCTCACGGGAGCAGGTGACAGAGGTGACAGCCTGCCCAGGGCCCGCTCCTGGAGTTTATGCTCTACGTGGCACTCCCAGGTCCCCCAGTATGAGCAGCTGGCCCTGCTGGGTCTCTGCTCTCCACCAGGGGCTGCCATCCAGGCAGCAGACAGAGGGTCCTCGGGGACAGCAGGGTCACTGTGCCTGGACACAGGGAGCCTGTGCTGCCCTTGGGGACTTTCTACTTAGAGCACTGACTCTCTGTTAGGGGTGGTTTTGTCCCCAGTGGTATCTTGGCAATATCGGGGCACATTTTGGATTGACAAAACTGGTAAGGAGGCTGCTCCTGGCAGCACCCTCTGGTGTGTAGACGACAGAGATGCTGCTCAGTGTCCTCTGACACACTAGACAGTCCCTACCTCACAGAACGGTCCTGTCCAGAGCGTCCCTGGAATCACAGTGGAGAAACCCCAACTTGGGAGAAAGGTTGTCCAAATGAAGTGCTCCAAGAGGAAGTCCACGCTCCGTGTTGACCCGGCACACTGACGGACCCTCGGTGAGGGGCTGGCACCTCCACGCCAAGGCAGGAGTGCATTCTTTTGCGGTTCTCAAACGTTGACCTTTGGGCCTGCAAAACGAGGCTATCTGCTGGGGCCTGCAAGTCTTTCCCCCTGTGTCCAGAGGGCACCACTGTGGCAGGATGGAGTCAGAGAGTGGGTTGTAGCAGAAAACAAAGCAGACACCAGTGATCAAAGGATGCGCATGCCCACCTTGCAGCAATGACCTTTACCAGCCTCACACACCGACCTCACCGGGTGCCTTGTGTTTATTCCCTTCCAAAAGGGAGCAAAACAAAACCACAAATGCATAGCACAGAAGAGCTGTGGGTGAGGAATGTGCACTGGGAAATGGTAATACGGGCCAGGCAGGGGACACAGAGCAGTACTGGAAAGCGGCCAGACTCAAGTCCAGAGCACAGTTTTGCCTTCCCCATAAATGCACATCCGAGGGAAGGGAGCGCCCCTCCTTTGACCTTTTCTACTCAGTGTACCTGGTTGAAAAACATCTCTTAACCAATGATGCTTTGGCTGCAGCCCCTGGGAGAATCACTGCCACCCTCGCTTCTGTGCGGTAGCTGGGTACTGGGCCCCAAAGCGGAATTCTGAGAAGGATCCTCTTTGTTGGAAACAGTGAATGCTTTCTGAGCTCCAGAGGCCCCTGGGATGACCCTGAGGCCTAAGCAGGGGACAAAGGTGATGCTAAAGGCCTACCAGAGTCAGCTCCGGATCCTGAGCCCCAGGGGCAAGCACTTCTGGGTGCCCAGGGCCTGATGACTGACATAGGAACTGTAGGTATCAGTGTTTTCTGGATCTTACAGGCAGGGCAAGAATGGATTCAACCAAGCACAATGGTGCATATTTGTAATCCCAGCACTTGGAAGGCCGAGGCAGGAGAATCACAAGTTTGAGTCCACAAGTTTGGGGCAATCTAGTGAGACCCTGTCTCATAAAATCAATCAATCAGTCAATCAAACAATGAATCAAAGAACCCAGTTTGGGTGCTTGCCGCCTAGATGGCATGGTCCTCACCCAGCCCTGTGCCATGTACCGGGAATGGAGCAGCAAAGAAAACAGATGCGGGCCTGCCCTGCCAGAGCCTGTGTGCTGTTGGAAGACATGGGAGGCTAACACACACACACACACACACACACACACACACACACAGATACAAAGCGACAGCTGTGCACAGTGACAGTGTAAGGGATGCTACAGGGCACTATGAGAGGGATAAAAGGAGGAGCCAGCTGAGACTGCGGGGGGTGAGGAGCTGTCAGGGGGCCTCGGTGAGTTTGAGGATGAAGCAGAGACTGAGCATAAGCGTGAAGGTGGAGGGGTTGCGTGTGCAGTGCATGCAGGTACACCCGTGCATGTGCGATTAAGGCTTGTCTGTCTGGAGGAGCCACTCAGCAGCACACAGCATGCCCCCCGGGGTGGGGCAGGACCCTGACTTTTGGGGCTTTGGCCTTTCTCCTGGGATCACAGAGAAGCAAGGAGAAGCTGGATCGCACATCTAAGCTAGAGGGAGGCAGAGAGGACATCTTTATGTAGAGAGGGCAGCGTGGTGTCAGAGGACAGTAATGGCAGCTTGGAGTAGAGCGGTGGCTATAGAATTGCTTACCTCTCTGTACCTCTGTTACCTGGATTATTAGGGAGAGTAAATGCAATAACACATAGCTGTTGGGCTCAAAGTCATTGCTCAATATATGTCTACCGCCTCCTTCCCTAAGAAGAACCAGATGGCCCCCAACAGCTTTCATGCCCGATGGTAAGACCCAGGTGAGTACAAGGAGCTACTACATGATCTATTTCCCGGGGTCCCTTTGGCATCAGAGCCCCAAACCTACTAGAGAGGATGCTGAGGCTTCTTCAGAGAAAAACATCTCAATAAATGCTTTGTTTTCTCAATAATTCTCTTCCATCTCACCTTCCAAGCTGTAAGTGGGGGAGTCGAGCCCATGTATAGCCAGGCCCTGCTCTCAAGTAAGCGGGACTTTGCTCTCTGCAGCAAGACAGACCCTTGACTTCCCTGGGTCAGAGGACCCGGCTTGATGTGAAGCTTACTGTGATGTTGCAGGTTCAGCGCCCCACGTGGCCTCTGGCAGGTGGCGGGTGCTCACTAGACCTCAGTCTCCGGGGCTGAGGAGGAGCAGTGTGGATAACGCCGGAGCCGGTAAGTCCTGTGACTTAGGGGGTGCTGGCTGTTTGCGAGGACCTGAAGTTTCTGCCTGGGGATCTCAATGCAGCTGTGGCCCAGCTGGCTTTGCCCTGTTGACCCCACTCGTTCACTGACTGGATCCTCACTGGGCACTGGCATAGAAATATCCATTTAGTACCCATCCCTGCACCAGGACCAATGGGCAGATGATTCTGATCTTCTGTGGTGAGTGTCATTAGGAAGAAGCACAGAGAAAGAGGACCTAGGCTGGATACCTTGGGATCTGTTGTTGTTGAATGTTTAGAAAGCTACTCAAAGTAGTTCAAGTCAGTAGCTGGGAGTGGTGGCACACACCTGTAATCCCAGCCCTTGGGGAGGTGACATCGGAGAATTGTAAATCTGAGTCTAGTCTCAGCAATTTAGCAAGACTATCTCAAAATACAGCAAAAATTTTAAAAGGGCAGGAGATATAGCCCAGAAAGAAAGCCTGCATTTAATCCCTAATACTTCAAAACAAACAAACAAACACTAGTTAGAATCAAGAAAAGATTTTTAATTTTTTTTTATCTATCTATCTATCTATCTATCTATCTATCTATCTATCTATCTATCTATTTTGGCTGAAGACACTCAGAAGACCAAAGCTTAGCTGGTTTCAGGTATGGCTGGATCCATCCATCAACTCAGGTGATGTCATCTATTTCTCTCTCTGTACAGCTTCTTTGCTTAGGTTTCCCTCGTGCTCCTGTGATAGTGCAGTGCCTTCCCTTGGACGGGAGAGGATTAGGCAGGGTCTCAGCAGTAATACTCAAGGTAAAACAGAGCTCCTCCCTCCCAGCGCAGGGGCATCCAGGGAAAAGGCTCTGATTGGTCCAGTGTCGGTCACACCCATCTCCTGGGGCGGATCCCTGTGACCAAGGCCATGCTGGCATCCTGCCGTGGCTGGGGTGAGACAGATGCTGTGATGAACCCCACCAGATCACATGGACGAGAGGAATGGCATGGACTTGAGGACAGGCAGTTCTCCAAAGGAAAGGGGAGGTGGCGCGTGAGGGGAGTTCTGAAGCATTTGCCAGGCAAGTCCAGAAAAGGGAGCCTCCAGGGCAGAGCAGCAGGAGCAAAGCCCGAGGGTGCGAGAAGGGGGCTGCTCTTCCGGGGGATGTGTGTGGCCGGCTGACAGCGGCAGGGGTGGCAGGAAAGGACGAGCCAAGAGGAAGCAGGGAAGGCCACAGACTCCATCAGGAAGGCAGTGGGGAGCTATGGCAGGATTTCAAGTAAGGCAGTGACAGCGATGTCATAGAACAGCGAGGGTGTGGAAAGTGGACTGGAACAGAGTACAACCGGAGAGAAAGAGACCAGGAGGGCTGTTCTTATCTGGACGAGAGACTGTAAAGTTCAAGCCTGCAGGACGCGGCAGTGGGGATGGAGAGGAGGGACAGGCGCGATGCGATAGAGTCAGCGTCCGGGACAGAACCCACAAGCCCAGGTCCCTTCCTCCTGGAGCTTGCTGTGGCTCTGTAAGGCCTTGGGAGTTTCATGGGCAGTGGGAGGAGAGGCTGATAGGGAAGGTAAAGAGAAACGTGACAGAAGAAGGTAGAGGGTGAGGGAGAGCGGGAGGCAACAATGACTTAAAGATGTGAGTGTATAGGGAATGGTGGTTCCCTTGGCTAAAATCAGAAGTCAGGTGGAGGAAAATATTTGGGAGTAGAGACGACTTTGTGATGAGTCTCCGTGGGCTGAGAGCCGCTGCTAGAAGCGTCTTGTTTTCCCCATCAATCACAATGGGCCCTTCTGGGTGGGGCTTTGCACACGGAAGAATAGAAAAGAAAAAGAAAAACAGCCATAGCACAGTTGACCAGGGCCCTCCGTGGCTCATCCTGCTAGATTCGGGGCTATAAGACAAGCCCCGTGCATCCTCGGTACGTACCTGATTCTCACCGCAGCTCCAACCCACGAGCTCTGGGGCAGCCTGGGCAGAAAACGGGACAAAACCTGAGACTTCTGCAGGGGAGTTTGGTTCCCACCAAGCTATCCAGGGTTTATATATTTATCAAGCCCGACGCTGCCAGCTGCTTCCTGCCACTGTTTATTAATAACTGTCCCCAGCACAAGCTCCCTGGGGGCAGCTCGGGAAGCCGGTCCCAGGGCTCCCGCTGGCATCATCACCCTCTGCCTCTGGGCATGTGCCAGGTGCCGGAGACAGCCTCGAGGGATGCGAACGCTACCTTTCCTGGCTCCTTCCATGGGTCACGAGCCCCGCCAGGGCTCTCTCCCCGGGGCTCTGCAGGGGTCCTAGGCTCAGCTTCATCGGGAGCAGAGAACACAAAAGATGGGCCCCAAAATGAGGGAGAGCTCCCACAGCATTCAGGAAACTGAGGCCCAGGGAGCAGGGAAACTCTGCTCCAGGTGGTTGGCAAGTTAGAAGCAGAGCTGGGAACAGAATCCTGTTTTCCCGGGGCCTCCTGGGGCCAGGAACCTTTCCACCACTGTTCTCCGACTGCATCATCACATAATCGTTGCTATTGTGATCAAGAACGGAGGCCACAGCTGCGTTTGGTTTTGTTTGTTTTTCATGTGGCACTGGAGATTGAACTTTGCACTGAGCTACATCCCCAGCCTTTAATTTTTTTTTTTTAATTTTGAGAGAGTGTCTCATTAAGTCATTAAACTGCCCTTGCTGGGCTTAAACTTTCGATCCTTCTGCCTCAGCCTCCTGGAGAGCTGGGATCACTGGTGTGCACCACTCCGCCAGGCCTGGAGCCTGCAGCTTCTGACTTAGACTTTCTCACACAGCGTAGACTCCTCAGGTAGTTGGGCCAGTCCATCCCGAGCTACATGCTGAGTTCAGGGACAGGCCTTCCTTTGCTAGTGGGGAACACTGAGGTGTCTCCTTCTGGAACACACTCCAGCTTATCCAGACGCTCCCCCAGCATCACTTGGGTAGGCAGCCGAGGCCAAGGGACAACTCCTTACCCAGCCTCCCCAGCCCTCTGCCCCTGGGCACTGGGTGCAGACACCCACCCCAGAGGCCGCAGCCACAGCGCGATGCCCAAAGAGCCCATGGAAACGCAGGCCTGCCCGCCGCCGCCCTGGAGACTGTAGACGCAGAGAGACAGTGAGAAGGCAGGTGTAGGAAGTGGCTGCCAGAACAGCGGGGCGGGCGGTTCGGTGCAAGGGGAGGGGCGGACCAGGCCCCGCCCTCCGGGCACCGCCTCCTGGTCAGTGCCGGGGCTGGGCGCGTTGTTGGTTTCAGGTTGTCAGGCAGCGGCAGCAGCCTCGAGGAGACAGCAGCGACCCAAGGAGACTGCGGTGGGGGTGAGCTCGGCTCTGCCCTGTCCTCTCCACCCGCTGCAAGCATGAAGAACGGCGGGGATGCCAAGGACCAGCAACTCGTGGTGAGACTCCTTGGAGCTCTGCCTCGCCCCCTTCACCACCCCCCCGGAATCCCACTACCTGTCAGCCTCCAACAGTGTCCACTAAGAGGACAGAAAGGGACAGGGGCTGAGTCAGTCCAGAGCAACTTTGCCCGAGTCCTAGGGAACAGGTGTCCGGAAAGTACACGCCTTCTTCTTAGTCTAGAGAGTTAGCCTGACTTCGGTCCACACCCCCGGGGGCCTCACCCCGAAGCCTGCATAGCATCTGCATGGACCCTGCTGTCCGATCGCCGGAGATCTGACCGACTGTCCTGAGAAGGAGAACAGAGGACAACCACAGGGCAACAGGGGAGCTGGCATGGGCTCAGAAGTGGGTGGGTGATTGTCCACCACGAGGCCACCTGGAGGAAGTAGGAAGGAGGGCCGGGCAGAAGGTGGAAATTCCTGGTCATCTGGAACAATGAGGGACAAACTCTGACCCCAAGGCCTCTGCTAGGCCTGGGTGGATGGGTGGGGGTCAATCCCTAGTACTGTCAAAAAGGAAAAGAGAAAATGATTTGCTCCGAATAAATGGTTTGCAAATGCACAGCTCCACACCTGGCCAAGCCAGGGGCCCTCCTCTCTTGCACAGACAAAGGTGATGTGACAGGTACAGAAAGTGAAGGGTGGGCCCCGTTGTGCTCCCCACATGGCCAGCAGGTGTCGTTTTGATCAGCCTGAGAATCCTCCTCCTCCCCTATGCCATTCTTGGGGAGCCCTAGCCCAGGGAGGAAGCCCCACTGTCTCACTGGGCAGGCAATAGAGGAGGCAGCGGAAGGGAAGATACCTGCACTTCTGTCCTCACTGTGGGGCCCCATCCACAGCCCCCAGCCCTGTTCATGTCTTCAGGTGCAATGCGTGGTTCACCGAGGTACCCCGGGGCTCCAAGTTCCAGCCCAAGGGAGCTGCAGGTGTTTAATTCAGATATGTGGATGATGCCTCCTGAGCAGATAGTTCTCTCCCCTGGGGCTGTCCCTGAGGCATGGGCTCCTGGGGAGATTCACAGACTCAGAGCCAGACACCCTGTGGACCTGCAGCCTTCTGACCTAGCCAGTCACTGTGACTCCTTAGGACTAAGGAGTCCGGCATGGCTGGACGCTGGAGAAGCCAGGAGTCTGTGTGGGGGAAGAATCCTGAGGACCTCAAAGGCTTCTCTCCAAGCCTCGCATGGCCCTCTCCTCACCCTGGGGTCTGGTCTCCCCTCCCAGGTGGCGCTCAGGGTCCGGCCCATCAGTGTGGCAGAGCTGGAGGAAGGAGCCACACTCATAGCGCACAAGGTGGACGAGCAGGTATGTGGGGCTGCAGCCAGGACTGCAGGACAGAGACCTGCTCCATTTGCTGAGGCACCTGGTCGGGCTGTCACAGCACCATCCTCCTCTTCTCCCTGCACTCTTGACTGTACCATTGCCAGCATCAAAGAAGCCAGGGACCCTTTTCCAGGTCCAAGGAAAGCTGAGAGCTTCCATAGCCTGAGTGGGTCTTGGTCACTTGGCTCCCAGATGTCTGCAGCTTCCCAACCTTACTCTGTGTCCAAAGAGCGCAGATTTATATGGTCACAGCTAAAGATCATCTCCAGCATGTTCATGCTTGGTGATGACCTTGGCTGTCTGTTCTCTCAGTCCTTGTCCCACTATGATGAAAGGGCAAAGCCGTCCATATTTATCAAGTACCCCTGACATACTGGGGACCAGGTAAGGAGTCAGGAAACTACAGTGAACAGGAAAGGAAAAAACAGCCTTGTCCTCCTCTGTTACCTGTAGTCCAGCATGGGAAAATGTAGTATAATCAAGAATTGAGTAAAAGACAGTTTTGCAACTAACAAGGGCTACAAAGAAATGCAGAGAAGTGCCCGGAGAGTGTGGGGGGTACTTTATCTAGTTCTAGAGGTCAGGAGGGCTCCTTCCAGAGTTAGTGAAATAAGAGTTGAGCTGAAATAAGGGGTAAAGAAGATGTAAGTAGGAGTGTGTGCAAGGAAAGATATTTGACCAGAGAATCTTGTATGTGCAAAGGCCCAGTGGTGAGAAGGATGGTGAGGAAACTGGGTGATTGAGAGAAGGCCAGTGTGGCTCAAGCAAGGGGCAAGAGGTGTGGGCTGAGCTAGAGACACAGGCAAGGGTCGAACTACATACTCTGTAGGCACAGCCAGGGAATTTGAGTAGGCAGTGGAGGGCTCAGGTACGATAGGGGCAGCAGACACAGCTTTGGTGCCCAGCCGGGGATGCTGGACTGGCAGAGGGGAGGGGCCAGCCCGGCACAGTCACACAGCTGAGAGGAGAAATCTCCTTTTGGTTTTCCCCTAGGAAGGGTATTGGGTCCTCAGGCTGGGATAATGATCTCTCTTTCTCTCTGCTCCTGGCTTCCAGCTGGCACGGGGGCTGCTAGGCATTAACTGATGGGAACGCTCCCCGACTAGGGTCCAGCCCTTCCTGCACCCACACTCCGCAGACACTGGCTCCATTCTGTCCCTGCAGGGCAGAGGAGGCGCACCGCCCCGCATCTGGCCTGATCTTGAGCTACTCCTCCAGCTGGGCATGAGTCGCGCTGTCAGGGTCGCCCTCATGTCAGTGGCGAGGCACAGAATGTCACCTTCCAACCTGAGCTCTTTTGGTCCCCAGTGGGTTCAAAGATGGGTGTGACCTGCACCCTTCTGACCAAGGCCAGCAGTTTGACAGTGGCTGCAGTTCAGCCAGGTTGAGAGGCTAAAAGAGAAAGCTGTCCCCCGGACAAATAGACCATGGCAACAAAGAGGTTAAAACGTACCAACCCAGGAACCAAGATGGGCAGTCTATTTTCTGGCCTCCTGTTCTGACCAGTTCTCCCCAGCAGCCCCACATCCACCTGCAGCCGTGGCTCCAGGCCTGCTGCACAGAGGGCCCAGCCTCCCAGTGGAATCTCTCTTCCTTCCTCCTAAGACCGGACAGCGGGGCTGTAGTGTCTCTGTCCAGCCAAGGTGTGGCTGGGCCCACGCAGCCGGCGCAGGGACCTGCCTCCTCTAATATGCTGGCTTCGGCTATCAACCTGCTTCCCAATGCTCTGTCGGTGAAGGCTGGCATGGCCTGTGTGGCCCACCCTTGGGGAGGGGGCTCCCCTAGCCAGCTTCCTCTTGCTTCCTGCTCCCCCTCGGTGGTGAGGGGGTCACTTTCCCCTGCTGGTGTCGTCTTAGGCCCAAGGGTGGGAATCCCTGGGCAGTGCAGCCCAGAGCTCACTACCAAGGGCTTGGCCCCTTGGTGGACAGCAAGGAGTAGGCCCTGCCACAGCCCAGTGGCCCACGGGTTTTGAGAGGGGGGATGGTGAGGGGCCCTACGGCAGCCTTCTGTAGAACTAGGAATGGCTGTGCTGGGGCCCTCTGGAATCGGGCCAAGGTGGGCACATCTGTAGCAAAGTGTCCTCCAGACAAGAGGCCAGCACATCCCTATTCTGGGGAAGCTAGAGTTGAGATTTGTACTTGTAAAGGGACTGGTTAGGTATCTTGACCCGGAGTCCCAGGGCCCCAGTTCTGTTCCAGACAGTAATTAGGACACCTTAGTTAGATAGTCCTTTGGGAGAGGGTTCACGGATATGCAGTGCTTAGCCCTGTGCCTGTGCACCGTGCAGTGCATGCTAAGCCCTAGTGTTGGAAAACAGGATGGTTTCAGAGTTAAGTAAAACCCAGCCTCCCTCCTCCTCCATCACAGCCCTTGGTACCGTCCCTACACAGTCGTCTCCCCGTGGACATGCTCCTGGAAGACCGCTAGGAGCTCCGCCCTTAGCCGCATTTGGGTGGGACTGAACTGGAAGCCAGACCCCCAGGGAGGCTTAGGGGAAGGAAGGGCCGTTGGAGGTGGGACTCCCAGCTGGGGAAGGAGCTCCCAAACAACCCCCACCTTACCCCCCAACCAGGCCTGCTGACCCTCCTACCTTCCAGGTGGTGTTTGTCTGCAGAATTTAAATCAACAGACAGTGTGTATAATCCCATAATTAGCTTTTATCTGCAGACAGCCCAACACCACCCACTGCTCCTGGGGGTCCTGTGGAGCCAGACAGGGGCCTTCTAGGATACCTGTGGGGGGCCCAGGCCTGCAGGGCAGGGGTGGGATGAGCACAGGAGGGGAAAGAGGAGCCAAGGCAGGTGTGATGTCGGGGACAGAAGGAGGGAGGAGAGGACAAGACCCCTGGCTCCCAGTGAACACAGACTATGGCCTCAGGCCAGGATCCAGAGGACCCCACCTTGCTAGGGCCCGGCTGGAGAGTCTGCCTGGGTCTCTGTTTTCTTGTCAGAAGAGGGGAGGCGAAACGCCTGCTCCACCCACACCAAGAACCGTGGAGAGGATTAAGGGAGCTGATGTAAGGGGACTGTGACCTCGCAAATGTGAGGCTGTTGTGAAAGATAAAGTATAAGGTGACAGATCCCAAGGGCCAGAGACAGTGAGTGCTGGGGGCTCCCTGTACACCAGGCATCTGAGGGCTCCTCGGCCTTGTTGCCCTCAAAATCTGTGCATGGTAAGAAATGACCAGGGTGGGCAGATTTAGCTCAGTGGTTCCACCACTTGCCTCGCAAGTGCAAGGTACCAAGTTCGATCCCTGGTACAAAAAATAACCAGGGGGAGCAAGGCATGGTGGCGCACGCCTGTAACCCCAGCACTCAGGAGGGAGACTGAGGCAGGAGGATCACCCCGAGTTCAAGGCCAGCCTGAGCTACATATTGAGACCCAGTCTCCAAAGCAGAAAAAAAGAAAATGTCCAAGGGAGAGTGCAAGGAACCTTTACTTTGTCCCTCAGCCACCTCTCCATCTTCTCCAACCCTTCCCAGATCCAGAGAAACCACTTTCCACCTGTCTCTGATCCACTCTGGACATGTAATGTAATCAGGTCATACAATATGGGTCCCGTGTATCTGGCTTCTTTCCCTTAGTGTCGTGTCTTCCAGCTTTACCCACATTATAGCTTGCGTCAGAACTTCTCATCTTTTCGTGGCTGAATAACTCTCCATGGTGTGGATGCACCACTCGGTATGTAGCTATTTAGCAGTTCGTGGGCATTTGGGCTGTTTCCACTTTGAGCTACTGTGCACAGTACTTTGAGGATGCAAGGATTCTTACACTTAACCTCTGGATAGGTACAAGGAGAAGGTGCAGATCTGTGAAAAATGAAGATTTGCGGGGCCACATTTCCAGGCAGTCTGATTGTGTGAATCTGGGTGGTGCCTGCAATCTGCATTGTACAAACTCCACTCCCTCAGAGCTCTGATATCTCCTGCAACCTCCAGAGAGAGAGAGTGAGAGACGCCCCGGAGCAGTGGTGGGAACCTATGGCATGTGTGATACAGCAGGCTCTTTGTATCATTGAAAGCTCTAAAAGGTTCACCACCACTGCCCTGGACTGTCTTTTAGGTCGTGCCTCCTATCATCCTGAGCCTCACGCTCCGCAGTCCCGTAGCCAGTGGTTACATGACTGGGACATCAGCCATGCGTGGCTCTGAGCTGAGCAGCTGGCTAGGCCTTGGCTCTATGAGCTCAATAGGTTGTATTCTGGGCTGTTCTATCCAGCCTGAAGGCTGGCAGGGTTCAGGGTGCCCTAACACTGTGCGTGTCTCCTTTACGGGGAAGGGGGACCCGCCTTGGCGCGTACATTAGTTTGACAAAGCAGCTATGACAAAGTACCACAGGTGGCTTCAACATAGAAGTTTATAATCTCATAGCTCTGGTGGCCAGAAGTCTGAAATCCAGGAGCTTACATTGAATGGTCCCGGTCCAGGCCCCTCTCCTTAGCTTGCAGATGGCTGTCTTCTTCTTATCTTCCCTGTCCTCTCTGTGTCCAGCTCTCCCTCTCTGTAGGGCGATGGTTGTACTGGATTAAGGGCCGACCCCACTCTGGTATGACCTCGGCCTCATCCTCACTAATTACCCTGTACCTACTCTACTTCAAGTAAGGTCACTGACTAAGGCGCTAGAGTTAGGACTTCAGCATGCAAACTTGGGGTGGAAGGGGTAGGCATTCACCCAGCCAGGCAGCCTATGTCCCCTCGCTTGTTCACTTGGAGAGGCAGGGGACCGTGGGCGGGTGGCAAGGAGCCTAGGTTCTGAAACCAGATCTTTGAGTCTAACCAAATCTGTAAGTCCCAGTACGGCTTTTGATGCATTACCTATCCGGTCTGAGTGTTCATCTACAGCCCAGTTCTAATAATAAGGGTGCCTAAGCCAGGCATGGTGGTGCACGTTTGTAAGTCCAGCACTTTGGGACGCTGAGGCAGGAAGACTGGAACTTCAAGCCCAACCTGGACAATTTAGCAACTTGGCAAGATCCTATCTTAAAAACAAAATAAAAAATTTTTAAAAACTATAAAAGGCCCAGGATATATCTCACTGCAAAAGCCCTGGGTTCAATTCTCAATATTGGGAAAAAAAATAAAAGTACCCACCCAGAACTTGTAAGAAAATGCATGCCAAGCCCTTTGTGCATTGCCTGGCATACTCAGAGCTCCCCACAAAAGGCAGCTTTATTCAGTAAATGCCCCTTGAGCTATGCCATGTGCCAGCCAGGGTGGCATTTAGAGGGCGCCCCAGAGGATGCAGAGGAGGCTGCCAGGATGCAGGCTGTCGTGGGCCCTCAGGGCTCCCCAGGGAAGGGGTTGGTGGCTGCCTCAGCAGATGCACTGAGTGCCTGACTCACGTTCTAGAGGTTCCTGAGGGAGGATGGAAGGTGAGACTCCGCTCTCCGACCCCGCACTTTGATCTGAGAGCCACTGGCCAGGCCTGCCTTTCACCTCTTTGCCTTGCTTACCACCTCCTCTAGAATATTCACTCTCAGCTACCCGCTGCTCACCCTTCCCAACTGAACGCTGGAGCTATCTCTTCCAGGCAGCCTTCTCACCGCACCTGGTGTGGCTGGAGTAGACGTCTCCTCCTACGGGCCTGCGCTCCCCTGGTTACGAATGACCCAGGAGTGTCTGAAGCAGGACACCTGGCCTTGCTCTTCTCGCTCCTCAGGGCTGGCACCTGGAAGGTGCTCAGCAACTACGTAGACTGCTTTCCTTGGCACCGCTCTCCACCCATCCTCCAGCTCAGCTCTGGTTCACCTGGTCAGGGGCACAAGGGCTCCACTGTGTGCCGGAGTGCACAGGTATGAGGGTGACGCTCTGCAGGGTGGAGTGGGAGCTGAGGCTCAGACAGACGGGACCCAGACAAAGCCCTCTTTCAGTGGGGTTTGTGGCAGCTGCGCTGACCAACGCGCTGATGCAGGAGCTTTCATATATCAACGAGTGAGACGTCCAGGGTGCCATGAACTGGTCAGCGCCTGGAGGTCATGTGAAGGCCACCATTGAGGGGGTGGGCATCAGTACACTCCCCCCAGCACTGACAGTCCTTCAAGGGCCCTGCTTGTGTTCAGGGGAGCACTGGCCCCTGGTGAGAGGAGATATGGCTGGCTGGTCAGGCTCCTGGTGCCTTCCAGGGGACTCAGGGCCAGTTTTTATCTTCAGTGGGGTCTGAAACTTGAGCAGGGCTTATGCTGCTGGCAGCCTGGGACAGGGACCAGATCCCAGAAGAAGCTTAGAGGGCATGGAGGCTGAGGCCCTGAGGAGGTGGCCAGTGGCTGGGGATGAGGGGCGGGTGGTCCTTGTCCTGCACTTAGCTCACTGCAAGCACCAGCCTTTGGTCAGCCGGGAGGGGACCCAACTTGGTGGCCTTCTTTTCCTACGCCAAGCCCCTGCCTAGCCTGCCTGGAGCCCTTCCCTCTCACTGGTTTACCTGTGATTTCAGCCAGCTGGTTAAGACTTCTGCTTCCTGAGGTGTCACCTCACCTGGAGATTTACAGAAGGGCCTTGCCAGCTCCAGGGCCAGCAATGGGCACAGGTGTGTGCCCACCCCAGAAGGCATGGAGGGAAGGAGAGGGAGTTTATCCCAGGATGGACACAGAATGCTCAGGGGAGCGTGGTGGGTGCCCTGAGGTCATTCTTCTCCTGGGACTGGACTTCCTAAATCTTCCAGCTTGGAAGTAGACCGAGAAGGACCCACCAAGGACCTCCTGGGCCAATGAGGTCAGCCGCAGTCTCAGATTGGCCTCCTGCCACCTCGTAGTCACCCTTGTCTGTCCCCTCCGAGTGGCTTTCCCCATGCCACGTCTGTTCATAAGCCCCGCCTCCCTTGCTGACCCAGGGAGAGAGCACAGCTACCATCTCTGCCCCCTTGGGCACTGGCCCAGTGTTCGGCCCTGTTAGGACTCAGTTTACCTCCTTACACAGACTCTTACTATCCTGGGCCTGTGATCGTCCAGGGATACTGTGCACAGGTATATGTGGGCCTCCCTTGGATGATGGTGTCTGCTGAGGGTCCCCAGCCACAGGGCCCCTGAGGGAGCAGGGAGGGCTGAGGGGACATTCAGAGGAGGCACAGGTGCCAGCCCAACCTGCCAGGCCTCGACCCTGCACCTTTGTGCCCCAATTTCCCCATCTAAGAATAGTCACGAATTCACGTTGCAGGGCTGTGCAGATCAGCTATGGTTAGTGTACAGGGAGTGAAGGCTGCCCCCACCCTCGGGAGAGGAGGGGACTGAGGGGCCCCACTGGGGCTCTGATCAGCACCCTGGCCCCGGGGAGCAGGTCCCACCTTGGCAGTAGCAGAGGCTTGTACGGTGCAGCAGGCCAGGGAAAAGGAGGACTGATGACCTTCTCCGTGGTGAGGATGGGACCAACCCTCTCAACTTGTCTTTTCTGTTCTTTTATCTTGATTTTCAATTATGTCTTCTTCCTGTTGTATTGCTCTTTTATTTTTACCACTGTAGACATGATGGCAGAGTCTTGGTGCAGGGAATTGGTGACCTTCCTGTCCCGAACGCAACCCCTTCTCTCCCTCTTAACGTCCCTAAGCTGGAAGGCTTAGGCAGGAGGATCATAAGTTTGAACTCAGCCTGGGCGAATAACAAGATTCAGTCTCAAAATACAAAATAAAAAGGGTAGGGATGAAGCTCAGTGCAAAGGCCTTGGTTCAGTTCCCAGTACTTGGGGGGGAGGGAGGAGGGGAGGAGGGGAGGGGAGGAAAGAAAGGAGCTCCCTAAGGAGAACCCCTGAGCACTCAGCAGGTGTAACCCATGTTGTCTCCCGGGTGTGCACAGCCCTGCAGAGAGGAAAGAAGAGCTCCCTAAGGAGAACCCCTGAGCACTCAGCAGGTGTAACCCATGTTGTCTCCCGGGTGTGCACAGCCCTGCAGGGACACAGCACTGCTGTCCCGTCTGGCAGAGGAGGAGATCCAGGCTCAGGCAGGTCATAGTGCTGTGCAAGGCCACTCTGCTACTGAGAGGCAGGACTAGGAGGGAGAGGCTACCCTCACTGTCCTCTCCCCCCACACACACAACCCCTAAGCTCAAGCCCTTCCATGAGTCTTTGAGCGTTTTCTGGCATTTCTGGGAGCACCGACGCACCTGTCCCTAGGCTGGGACCCCATGAAGATCCTGCCCCTTCCTCGGCTTTTCCACATGGAGCCCTGAACAAAGCTTGGCACGCCGTGGACGTGGGCAGGGCAGGGTGGCCTCAGAGATGGTTCTAGAAAATGGATCTGCAGGCTTTGAAGCCAGTTTACAGCTTTTGAACCCCAGGTCCTCCACTGGCTACTGTGTGACCTGGATTCTGGACCCCATGTTCCTCAGCTGTCCAGTGGCAGGAACAATTGCTTCAGGCAGTAAAGCCCTGGTGTTGCTTCTCTTGCAGGGAATAGCTTTGCAGTTAAGGGATAGGACCCGGATCTTGGGCTTGCTGTGTTTGGGGCAGCCCCTCAGCCTCTCTGTGCCCTTGGGACTGCACCACCCTTGCAGGGGCTGCACACAAGACCAAGCATCTAGACCTGACACCTGGAGAGCTGATACGTGCAGAGAGGAGCCCCAGGATCTGGGGACCCCAGGTGACTGTGGCCTTCCCTTGGGGACCTTTGCAGATGGTGGTTCTCATGGACCCAATGGAGGACCCTGATGACATTCTGCGGGCGCACCGCTCCCGGGAGAAGTCCTACCTGTTTGATGTGGCCTTTGACTTCACTTCCACCCAGGTGGGGACGGGCCTGAGCCTGGGACATGAAAGAGCCCCTTGGCATCCTTTGCTCTACCTGGCAGGAGCACTCAGGGACCCAGCCACTGACCCTCACCTTCTCTTGTGGAGTGTTCCTCACTTGGGGAGTCTGCATGTGTGTGTGCGCGCACACACACACACACACACACACACCACCTGCCTAGGACAGCCACATGCAACACGCCATGGCTGGCCCATATCCAAGCTGGAGCCAGGAGCTGGAAGCCCATCTGGCACAGAGAGGGCAGGCAGAGGAGTCTCGGGAAGCTGACACTCTCTTGGGGACTCCCATCTCGCCCATCTTCGGATGCTCCCAGGAGCAGATGTAATGCGTTCTTAGGGCTGGGGGCTAGGAGCCGGCTACAGGGGGACGTGTCTCAGGTGTCCTGAGCTCTCTCGCACCCTGGTGTCTCCCCAAGGGGTGTAAGTGGAGACTCCTCCTACAGTTGCCACACCCTTCTCCCCAGCCTGGGGTTCCAGGGACAGGAAACTCTCCAGGGCCAGCACTGCCTGTAGGCATCTGTGCTCTGCCCAGTCTGTGTCCCAGGCCCTGGCCGAGTTTCCTGTTCCCTGCAGGAGATGGTGTACCAGGCCACCACCAAGGACCTCATAGAAGGTGTCATCTCAGGCTACAATGCCACTGTCTTTGCCTATGGCCCTACAGGTGAGGCAGAAGCCCAGACCAGAACATCCCTGCTGTCCCACCCTTAAGAACCAAGCACCCTTGTCCTCCACTGGAGAACTAGCCTGGCCTCAGCGGGGCAGGGATCAAGATTATGGACGATCTAAACCTCAACCTTACCCAGGGCCCTCCAGTCCAGAACCCCATCCTCACCAGGCCCCCTGCCCCTCACTACCAACCTGGCCATCTGGGGACCCACCCTGTTCCCCCATCACCCTGCTGTGCTCCAGGCTGTGGGAAAACTTACACCATGCTGGGTACTGATCATGAGCCGGGCATCTATGTTCGGACCCTCAATGACCTCTTCCGTGCAATCGAGGAGAGCAGCAGTGACGTGGAGTATGAAGTATCCATGTCCTACCTGGAGGTGAGCTCCCACCAGGCCTGAGTAAGAGGTGCATAGGACGGGCGCACGTCCCTGGAGCTCATCACCGGGCGGTATCCTGGATGCTCATCACGACTGCTCTCCCACAGGCACCTTCCAAAAAACAAAGGAGGCTCAGAGAGCTGAGGCAGGTAGATCCATGATGCACAGCAAGTGAGAGCAAGGATTCGGACTCAGGTGGCTTGGAAGCTGAGCATGGCCTGTTGTCCCACACTCAAGTCACCTTGTCAGTGACGCAGAGCTCTGCAGCCCTCCCAGCCTGCTCTCCTCCTCACTATGCTCCTGGTCCTGTTCCTAGAGCACACCTTGTCCACACTGAGTGTAGAAGAGGCAAGAGACCTGGCCAGCAGGCTGAACACCTGGCTCCTCTAGGAGCTGATAATTCCCTGGGGGACAGCCAGCGGTGTTGACTAAGCCAGCAAGGCTTACCCTGCCGTGGGGGGGGCACCCGGAAGTAGCCTAAGGTTGCCTTCCCAACCTGTCCCAGCCTTCACTCTGGTCCCCACCCTGTGACTAGTACACGGCCTGCAAAGGAACCCCTACTTGTTTCTAGAGCCTCTAGTAACATCAGCTCTGGAGCCTGGGATTTTTCTGTAGTTGATGAAAACTCCCACCAAAAAAGAGGGCCTTCCCCCAGCCGGGGCATCTCTGGAGGAGGCTGGGGCCCAGAAAGCATAGGCGCCTGGCCCCTTCCTGCTTGGGGGACTGTGGGGGGCACTTGTTTTGCCTGGACCTCCTGACCTCGCCCTCCCTTCTCCACTCCCTCCCTGACTGGTCCCATCAGATCTACAATGAGATGATCCGGGACCTGCTGAACCCCACCCTGGGGTACCTGGAGCTGAGGGAGGACTCCAAAGGAGTGATCCAGGTTGCCGGAATCACTGAGGTCTCCACTATCAATGCCAATGAGGCGAGTCTTATGTGGCTAGTCGGGGGCTGTGGAGGGGACACTCAAGAGGGGACAGGAAGTGGTGGACTGAAGCCAGGAAGCCACTGGTGCTCGGTGGGGGCAGCGACAGACAGAATCCTGAGTGGTGGCAAGAGGAGAACTCACGCCTGCTGTCACTCCCCAACCTTGCTGACCCCGGGGATTGACCAGGCTGCACAGCGTCCCCACAGTCTCGGAGGCCCTCCTGCCAGGGAGCTGACCATGCACTTGCCCAGGCCCCTCAGGACACGGAGGCCAGGCCACCCCAGCTGCCCTTTCCCAGCCTCTCAGGTGCAGGAGCCCCTCCCACCTGGCCTGGTCTCCTCCTCTCTGCAGGATGCCTCTGCTGGTCCCCAAGACCTCCGTCCCTCCTTTCTTCCCTCCCTTCCCTCCCTTTTAGGTCATGCAGCTGTTGATGAAGGGGAACCAGCAGAGGACCCAGGAGCCCACAGCTGCCAACCAGACATCCTCGCGCTCCCACGCTGTACTGCAGGTGGCCGTGCGCCAGCGCAGCCGGATCAAGAGCATCGTGCAGGAGGTGCGGCTGGGCCGCCTGTTCATGATCGATCTGGCCGGCTCTGAGCGCGCCTCCCAGGTGAGGCTGGCTCTGGGGTCAGGGCACGGCTGGCTGTCCCAGAGGGAAGAAGGGCCAAGGAAAGTGCTCCCCCAGGGGAGGCTGGCTCCCTGGTGTTTGAACATGCGGGCTTGGATTAGAACAGGCTGAGGTTCAGCAAAGTCTTTCCTCCCCACGAGTCAGTCCTGGAGGCCATCCTGAAGGGACGGAAGCCTGGGAGGAGAAGGTATGCAGCGCTGGAGTCGGCCAGTTCTGGCTTCTCCAGGAGGGCCCAGGTGGCTTCTGGTTGGGTGTTGGAGGCCCTGCTGCCTTGATGCCCCCTGCAGGCCCAAAGGAGAGGACTTCGGGACTCTGTCTCTGTCTCTCTGTGTCTCTGTGACTCTCTCCATCGCTCTCTGTGTGTCTCTGTCTCGAACACACACACACACACGTCCACACACACACGTCCACACACACCGTCCATACACACACGTACACACACATACACGTCCACACACACCATCCACACACACACACGTACACACACACCGTCCACACTCCCTCACACATCTCTCTCCTGAAGCCTGTGGCATTCTCTGGAGCCAGGTCCTGCGGTGGAGGCAACTCATGCTTGAGGCTCCTGTGAAGCCGCCTTGTGGACCACACCTTCTGGCAGCACCTGCCCTGGGGGAGATTAAGAAGCAGCCACTGGGCCCTGCTTAGACACCTGCAGCCCACAACTCTTGTTTAGAGACCCTGCTGTCCCCTTATCTACTTAAACGTCTTCAAGGCCCCTGGGCAGAGGGTGGGACAAGGCTTTCATGTCAGGTCAAGGGTACATTTAGGGGCCCCGAGGGAGGAAGTGGGATTTATTACCAGGATCATCTGGGCATTTTGTGGGTGGCTGAGATGAAGCCCTACCCCTTGCCCAGAAGGTCACAGTCATGTTCTTTGCTGCCCCCAGACACAGAACCGCGGGCAGCGCATGAAGGAGGGGGCCCACATCAACCGCTCCCTACTGGCCCTGGGCAACTGCATCAATGCACTGAGTGACAAAGGCAGCAACAAGTATGTCAACTATCGGGACAGCAAGCTCACCCGGCTCCTCAAGGTACTGCACGGCTGGGCCCAGACACCGGGCACCAAAGATCAGGCTGCCAGATTTACAAATACAGACCCAAGGCAGGCAGCTGAATTTGAATTTCAGATAAGCCACAAAATTGGTTTTAGTGTAAAGTGTGCCCCAGCCAGTATCTAGGATGTACTTATGCTAAAGAAATCCATTCACTGGTTATCTGAAGTTTGCATGCAACTGGACGTCCTAAATTTTATCCTGCAGCTCTAACCTTTATTCTGATGCTATTTTGTTTTGTTTTAACCACTGTAGCTTTGCAGTATAACTTAAGTCTGGGATCGTGATGCCCTTGTTTCCCACAGTTGCTTTTGCTATTCTAGGTCTCTTTTGGCTCCAAATGAATTTTAGGATTGCTCTCTCTAGTTCTGTGAGGAATACTATTGATATTGTGATTGTGACTGTGATTGTGAATCTATTAAATCTGCATAGCAGCTCTGGAAGTACGGCCAGCTTGACGATACTGGTTCTGCCTCTCCAGGGACAGAGGATATCTTTCCATTTTTCTCATGCCCTCTTTGATCTACTTTTTCAGAGTACATAGTTTTCATTGGAGAGGTCTTTCACTTCCTTCATTAGGTTAATTCCTAAGTATTTCATTTTTATTCATGCTATTATGAATGACACTGTTTTCCTAATTTCTTTCTCACTGAGTTTATTATTGGTGCATTGGAATGCGACTGATTTTGAGGTGTTGACTTTGTATCCTGCTATGCCAGCTAATTTGGTTATTGACTCTAGGAGTCTTTTGGTAGAGTTTTTGGGGTCTGCAAATAATGATGATAAAAATGTAACTTCTTCCTCTTCAATCCGTATCCCTTTTATTTCTTTCTCTGGACTAATTGCTTTGGCTGTTGTTTTGAGAACTATATTGAACAGGAGTGGTGATAGTGGGCATCGTTGTTTTGTTCCTGATTTTAGAGGGGAAGCTTTCAGCTTCTCTCTATTTAATATAATGTTTGCTATAGATGGCTTTTTATCAGATGAGATAAAGACCTTCTATACCTATTTTTTTCCACTTTTGTCATGAATGGATACTGAATTTTGTCAAATGTTTTTTCTGCATCTATGGAGATGATCGCGTGAGTTTTGTCCTTCCTTCTGTTTATGTGGTGTATCAGATTTATTGATTTGCATATATTGAATAATTTCTGCCACCCTGGAATGAATCTTACTTGGTCATGAGGTATGAAGTTTTTAATGAACTGTTGCATTCTGTTTCCTACTATTTTATTGAGGATTTTTTCCATCTATGTCCATTAATGAGTTCTCTTTTTTGGTTGGATCTTTTTCTGGTTTTAGAATCAGGGTAACGCTTGCTTTCAGAGATGCCTTGGAAGTACTGCTTCTCTTTGATTTCATTAGAGTTTGAGGAGTATTGACATTAGAGCTTCTCCAAAGTTCTTACAGAATTCACAGTGAATCTGTCGTGGCCTGAGTTTTTCGTAGTTGGTAGGTTTTTTAATTACTTCTCCAATTTCATTGACTGATAATGGATTAGTCAGTATTTTTGTATCTTCTTAATTCCATTTTGGCAATTTATACGTACAAGGAATCTAACTATTTCTTCTGAATTTTTCATTTTGTTACAGTTCAGGATCTCAAAGTAGTTACCAGTGATCTTCTGGATTTAGCAAAATCTGTTGTGATTTTGCCTTGTTCATTTCTTTTTCTTTTTTATCTTTACTGGCACATTTTAGGTATACAATACAGTTACATTCATCATTGGAATCTCGTATGTTTACATGACTTTTCTTGGTTCTTGTTTTTCCCCATGCCCCTGCCCTCCCTTCAGCCCTTCCACCCTTCCTTGTTTACAAAGACATTGTTTCCATGTTTTTCCTTTTCTCATATTTTTTTCTTTTCCCTTTTTTACCTTTCCCGTACCCCTCCCACTTCCTCTACTATTTTTGCCCTTTTCTTCCTATTATACAACATCAATTATACATTTTGATCCTTCTTTACACTTTTAGTTTTTCACACCAGAGAAACTATTCAGTATTCACACATGTGTGACTTTTTAATTTCACTTAAGATTATGGTCTCAATGTACATTCACTTAGCTATAAATATCTCTAGTTTCTCATTCTTTATGGCTGAGTAGTACTCCATTTTATCTTTTAAAAAAACACATCTTCTTTATTCAGTCTCCAGTTGATGGGCAATTGGACTACTTTCAAACTTCAGCGGTTACAAACCGGGCCACTGTAAACATGGGTGAGCATATATTGCTGTGGTATGATTCTTTTAATTCTTTTGGGAAGATACCTAGCAGAGGAATAGGTGGGTCAAATGGGACTTCTATTCTTAGTTGTTTGAGGTATCTCCATATTGATTTCCACAGTGGTTGCACCAGTCTGCACTCCCACCAATAATAAAGAAGGGTTCCTATCTCTCCACAACCCCACCAGCATTTTTTATTGATTTCTTGATATCAGCTATTCTTACTGGGGTGAGGTGGAATCTCGGTGTTGTTTCCATCTGCATCTCTCAAATGACCAGTGATGTTGAACATTTTTTCATGTGATTATTTGCTGCTTTCACTTCTTTGTCTGAGAAATGTCTGTTCATTTCAGATGCCTATTTTTAAATCAGTTCTTTATATTTGAGGGATCTGATTTTTTAAGTTCTTTATATATTCTAGATAGTAGACCTTTGTCTGAGGAACAGCTGGTAAAATTTTTCCCCACATTATGGGTTGTCTTTTAGCTCTACTGCTGATCTCTCTGGCAGTGCAGAAGCTTTGTAAAAAGATGAGATCCCAGTTGTTGATTCTCTGTGCTACAGAGGATTTTATCTTTTCCTATGCCAATATCTTCAAGAGTTCTACCTCACTTATCTTCCAGCAAGTTTAGTGTTTCTGTTTTAATATTTATATCTTTAATCCACTTGGATTTTGGTTTAGTTCATGGTGAAAGATATGGGTCTAGTTTTAATCTTTGTCAAGCTAAAATCCAGTTTTTTGAACACCATTTATTAAAGAGGCTGTCTCCTCCAGTGAGGGTGCTTGGCTCCTTTATCAAAGATGAGTCTCTGAGTATGTTAGGAGTTGTTTCTGCAACTTCTGATCTGTGCCACTGACCCTTGGGTCTGTTTCTTTGCCAGTGCCATGCTGTTTTTATTACAGTGGCTTTGTAGCATAGTTTCAAACTGGGTATTGTGATATACCCTGCCGTGTCTCTGTTGCCTAGAATTGCTTTGCTATTCTAGGTTTCTTCTGATTCCAAAGGAATTTTTGGACTGTGTTCTCTGAATTTCAATAGGGATTGCATTGAATCTGTACACCAGTTAATAAAATGGATTTGGGTCTTTTCTTTCCTTATTTTGGTAAGATAGGTTAAAGCTTTTTCTATTTTGTTTATTCTTTCAAAGAATCAACTCTTTGATGCATTGATTCCTTGTACTGTTTGTTTAGTCTCAATTCCATTCATTTCTGCTCTGATCTTTATAATATCTCTCCTTGTACTAGCTTTAGATTTGGATTTTTCTTGGTTTTTAGGGCCTTGGGGTGCACATGAGGTTGTTTATTTGAGCTTCCTCTGTCTTTCTAGTGTGGAAATTCACTGCTATAAACTTCCATCTTAGGATTGCTTTCATTGGGTCCTATATGTCCAGAATGTCATCCTGGCATTATCATTTGATTAGAAAAATGGTCTGTTTTCTTTCTTAATTTTATCCGTTGATTCTTCAAGAGGACATTATATAATTTCCATGTTTTTGCACAGTTTCTATGGTTTCTTTTGCCTTGATTTCTAGTTTCATTGCACTATGATCTGATAACATGCATGGGCTAATTTCGATTATTTGCATTTATGGCTTATGTACTAGTATGTGGTCTGTTTTGGAGAAAGTCCCATGTGCTGCAGAAGGAATATGTATTCTGTTGTTGAGGTAGAACACTGTGTAGATATCTACAGTAAGTCCCCAGCATATGAACAGATTCCATTCTGGGAGAACATTCATACGTTGGATGCATTCTCAAGTCGAACAAAGTGACTCTTATTAAATGCTTTGACACAAATATGCAATATAAAGCATAAAAAAGTCAAACACACACAGAAATACTGTAAGTAAGCCATTTTTACTTTTACAGTTTCCTTAAAGTGGTGCTACAGGGCTGGGATGTAGCTCAGCTGTGCAGTTCCTGACTGGCAAGCATGAGGCCATGAATTCGAGTCCCAAAAAAGAAAACAAACAAACAAACCAGCGGTGTTACAGTACAGTACAACAACTGTAAATAAATAGCGTGTTGTTTTGCGCTTCCTAGCAGTCCATCACCACCGCTTGTCCTCTCGCTTCTGGACATCCTGGGCTCTGACTGGGCACTGTACAACTGTACACTGTCACACTGTACAGAAAGCGCACAGTAGCACAGCGGTGACAATATCCGGCAGACGTGTGAGCCGCTTTCCTGATCTTGTTCATACCTGTGAATGCTCCTACCGCGAGGTCCATTGCGTCTGTGAAAATTTGTGGCTGAAATCTTTGGAAGTCAGGGACTTACTGTATTAAATCCATTTGTTTGAAGGTTTGCTTCAACTCAGATATTTCTTGGTTGATTTTTTTTTTGCCTAATTTGTCCGTTTCTGACACGGAGGTATCGAGGTCCTCGTTACAATTGTATTGGTGTTTATCGGATTTTTAATGTCCATTACTGTTTGTTTTATGAAGCTGGGTACACTGGTGTGTTTATAATTGTTATTCTTTACTGTTGAATTGTTCCTTTAACCAATATGCAATGAACTTCTTTGTCTCTTCTGATCCATTTTGGCTTGAAATTCACTTTGTCTGAAATTAGGATAGCTATTCCTGCTTTTATCTGGGATCCCATTGCATGGGATATTGTTTTCCATCCTTTGATTTTTACTCTGTGAATTTCTTTTTGAATTAAATGTATTTCTTGCATGCTGAATATCATTGGATTTCGTTTCTTGATTCATTCTGCCAGTTTTTGTCTTTTGATTGCAGAATCGAAACCATTCACATTGAGTTATTACTGAAAAGTTTGACTTTTTCCTGTCATTGCATTATTTTCCTGTTGGTGATTTCCTTGGGGGTTTTTTCTCTCTCTTTCTCTCTCCCTTTTGCTTCACTGCTCACACTATCCTTGAGACTTTTTTTTTTTTTTTTGGTACCGGGGATCGAACTAAGGTCCTTGTGCTTGCGAGGCAGGTGCTGGAACCACTGAGCTAAATCCCCAGCCCTATCCTTGAGACTTTTTCTGTAATCTTGTTTGGGTGGTCATGAATTTCTTGAGGTGCTCCTTGTTATTGGAAATATCTTATTTCTGTGTCAATTTTAAAGGCAAGTTTTGCAAGGTACATAAGCCAGGGTTGGAAGTTATTATCTTCTAGGGTTTGAAACACCACTCCAAAAGCACTCCATCCTTAAAGATCTCCTGGCCTTTAAGGTTTGTGTTGAGAAGTCTGCTGTAGTTCTTATGGATTTACTTCTATATATGATTAAGTGCCTTAGATTTTGTGCCTGTGAGGGACTTTTGGTACCTTGAGTATAGCATGGTGTGGAGAGGTGCTCTTTTAATCATGGCTATTTGGGATTCTATATGCATCATTTATATTTATGTTTATTTCCTTCCCTATATATGGGAAGTTTTCTGCACTATTTCTGTGAACAGGTTTTCTGTGCCATTTGTGTTGTCTTCTGATTTTTCACTTGTTCTAGATACTCTGAAATAAGGCTTCTTTGTATCATCTAGCAGCTATTAGGCCCACTTTTCATTCTCCTGTTGTTTTTAAAGTGTCTTTGAGTAATTGGTCTCTGAAGACATCATTATCTTCTAGTTCTGAAATCCTTTCCTCACACTAGTCTCTTCTGCTGCCCATACTTTCAATATAATTTTTAATCTCCTGGATTTCTAATTGAAACCTTTTAATGGGCTCTAATTCTTTGCTAAACTGGTCATTCATGTTTTGTATAGCTCAATTAGCTTTTTATTAGTGTCTCCTGAAAGTCCTGGATCATTTTGATTACTACTTTAATTATGTTTAGTTATATCATTGGTGATCTTGTTGAGTACCTTTTTAATCTATTTTCTAACCTCCTCTGGTATCTTTTTGAGTAATTCAGGTGTATGATTTATGCTCTTCTCCCCTTTGGTGGTCCCTGGATTGGCTTTGGAGGAGTTGGGAGTTTTGGGAAGCATTTCACTGCCTTATCTTTTCATGTTTTTATTGGGTTTGTTGGTTTGTATGTTTAGTTTTGTGCTAAGGTCTGTGGATGCTTACAGTGCAAAGACTTTGTTGTTCATAAAGAGGTTCTTTAGTCACTGTTCAGTGATGCATTTTAGTTATTTATAGACCTTTGTCTCAGCTCAAAGATCTAACCACCTTTGTTATTTTGAAAGGAGAGGATGCAGTGTCATTTGCCCAGCACTGAATTCTCTGGGAATGTACTATTGCCTTGTCACAATACTCTTATGTCACAAAGGTAATCTGATTGTTAGCTTACAGAGAAAACTCATTAATAGCAACAGTTATGCAACTCTGGTAATATCAAGCAAATCAGCTACAAGTGTGTTGCCCAAGACAAATGGGCTATAAAATATTAACATAATTAACATGAGAACCAATTATGCACCACCCTTAACCTCAGTAAAGAAATCCACAATTATGATGTGAACATTAAGATAACCCAGGCATCGTCTTTCAGCTACTATGTACTAAATGTGATAGTTATTATCTCAGCTAGTGGTAGAAAAGAATTCAACAATTTTATAGCTAACTATCTAAAGATTCCTAAAGCTTTGTGGTTATACTATTAAAGACATTGGGGGTTGGGAATTGGGAAATACAAGAGGAAAAATTTGAAACTTTAAACTATACAATATGAGAAGGAAGAGAGAGAAATGGTACAGAGGATCCTACTGGGGAGTAGAAGGATGTTTGTAGAATTAGGCAAAGGCTAAAGAAAAAACTGACAAGAAATACAAGATAAAAAGAAGGATGGAAGAAGAAATTATATGGAGAGTAAAAATAACAGAAAATATTAAAGGGAGAAAAATTAAAAGGGAGACGAGGACAAAATAAAGCCAAAAAGATAAGCAGCAAGGAAAAAGGAGAAAGGAAAATTCCCCAAGCCTCAATAAACTGGTGAAGAAGAAAGGAGGAAAGGAAAGAAAAAAGAAAAGAAAAAAATGCACATACAAGAAAAATTATCTGTGATTTGAAATATGTGGCTTCTTCTGGGGTCTACCATTTGGGGGCAGTGTCCAATTCAAGACATGTCCCTGCTCACACCGGTAGATAAAAAAGGCAATCAGGCCCGAGATCTGTGCTGGATGAAGTAGGATTAGGGTAAGGGTGCCAGTCCCGGGACTTTCAAATCCAGAGTAACTCAGGCTGAGCCGTACCTCCGGCCATGGGGAGAAGGCCCGTGTCCTTTACCTTAGACCCCTCATGGGGTTGCTTTCCTGCCTGCTCCCCAACCATGGCTGTCTCTTACCCAGTCACTGTGGGAACGTAACACTGGGACCCCTGAAGTGAAGCTATCTGCACAGCTCTGAGGGCTGGGTTGAAACAGTCAACCCTTCCTTGGTTGGAATGACATCCAACCAAGCACATTCTCCAGGGCTATGGCAGCTGCTTGGACTAGAGTCATTCACTAGCTCAAAGGATTCACGTAGGAGCAGAATCCCACACTCTTCCTGCAACTCACAGCACCCAGTGGTTTGTCCCATCATCAAGTTTCTCCCTGAAGTCCTCTGGAGTCCCTGGAGTCTCGAGTCACTTTGTCTCGTACATTTCATCTACCTCTCCTGCAAGCCATGATCTAGGAGCTAGGGAGAAAGTGTAGATTGCCCCTTCCCTTCTCTGTATTGTTTCTTCAATCTCTCTGTAGGTTTTAATTTTCTTGTCAGATCCTTCCAGGTCCCCAGGGATCTACTTCTCTTTTTTCTTCCCCAAATTATTATTTTTTTCCAGTGTCTGGATTCCCGATCTTGGATAGGATGTTATTGCTGCTTACCATTTTGCCATTTTCTCCCAGTCCATTGGTCTTGTCAGTGACTCTGTGAGTTAAGGAAGTTCCATTTGCAGACAAGGAGTTTGCACAAGGAGGTTAAGGAATTTTCCTGAGGGCTCATGCTAATGAGTGCTAGAAACAGGGTCCCAAAGGAGGTCTCCTTGGTCGAGCTGCCAGCTTATATGATCTCTGAGTCAGTCTGCTGGTGGTTGCATCCACCAGCCAGGGAGGTGCAGGTAGCAGGGAAAATGATGGTCACATTCCAAAATGAGGCAGTTTAGGAGAGATGAAGTACTTTGTGGGTCTCCTAGCTGGCTGAGGCTTTCTTCTTCCCAAGCTGTTTGCATTGTGTGGTGTGTGTGTGAAAAGGAAGGGGCAGGAGGCTGTCTCAGCTGACCACGTTCCTTGTCTCCCTCTGCTCAGGACTCACTGGGTGGAAATAGCCGCACTGTGATGATCGCCCACATCAGCCCAGCAAGCACAGCCTTTGAGGAGTCCCGGAATACACTGACCTATGCTGGCCGGGCCAAGAACATTAAGACAAGGGTGAGGCCACTTGGGTTGTCCATCACACTTTCTTGGGCCCAGTCTCGAGCTCTTGGACTGATTCCTTCCACCCACCCCATTTTGTCTAGACCCAGCCCGGACTACACTGGCCCCAGTCGAACATCACCCCCAAGCCCTTTCCCTGTACCTCTGGCCCCTGCATGTCTATCCTAAAGCTCTCATCCACTTCTTATTCTGGGCTGCCCCCAACTCCAACCCAGCCCCACCATCTCCCCTTCCTCTTCAGACGTCCATTCAGATCTCTGCATTTTCAAAGTACCTCCTCATAGCAATCACAATAAGAGGTGGCCTTTGTCGAGCCCCTCCTCTGAGCCTTTTGATATAGTATCGTATCTGATTTCAAAACAAGGCGAGTGTTATTGCTTCCCCATGATACAGTCCACAGTGAGGCTTAAGGATTTAAGTGATTTCCCAGCTGGTCACTGATGGCTCAGAGACCAGAAATGGGCCTGCCTGGTTCCCAAGTTCATGTTCCTACTTGTCTGATGAGCATGGTGGGACCCTGACATCTAGTATGAAGTCTCTTTTGGACTGAGTGCTTGAAGTTGTATTCTGACCCTCCAGAAAGCTCATGGGGGAGAGAAGACATAGTGTAGACTAGTTCATTCATAGGTGAGACCATTGCTAGGTAGATGATGTCATTTGGGGTCGGGGGAGAGAATGAGTGGTATTGTGAAGTATAAGGAAAATATTTTAGAAGGTGGGAAGGCATGAAGTTCTAGAGCTGAGAGGAAGTTAGTAGGCTCGAGGAGCGAGGAGTATTTTTTTAGTACAGAGCAGATTATTTTTCCAGATCATTAAAAATCAGAGAGTGGTGAGTTTTCAACACCAGTTAAGGAAGTAGGGCATTCCATCTAGGCATAGGGAGCCACTAAGGTTGATAGGCAAAAGCAGCACTTTAGGACTAGATGTTAGATGTGACAGGAAAAGGTAAAGTTGGAGGCAATGGGGGCTTACTGTCATCAGAGGGACTGGGGAGGCAGAAGGGAAGGAGAAACGAAGGCCCCACTGGAAAGACCAGAGAGTGAATACAGGCAGCCCTAGCTCCTGGTATTCTCCCCCACCCTGTTCTCCCTGCAGGTGAAACAGAACTTACTAACTGTTTCCTATCACATCGCCCAATATACTCATATTATTCAGAGCCTGCGTAGGGAGATCCAGCAACTGAGGGGAGAAATTTACCATCGGGCAGGGCAGGGCAGGGCCTGGCCCTGGGCCCGCCCCGAGCGAGGAGACATCTGCCACATGAAAGGTATGTGAGTGGGGAAGGTCGTGCTGAGCTGGGCTGTCTTGGGCTGGGTAGCCTTGGGCTGGTCGCTCAACTGCTCTGAGCCTTACAACCGACCTTTGGAAAATGGGATCCTGATCTCTGCCAGGGGACCTGGAGACCAGGTGGGATCACGTATCACAAGGCACATTCAGTTGTGCGGGGTCCACACCGGGGGCTGCCTTGTAGGACATTGGGGCCACCACCTTTCAGTGGTTGATGTGAGGTGCTGTAAGAGTGGGGGACTCTGGGTCCTATGGAGGACCTGGTAATGCCTTTGGGGTATAACCTGAGGCACCCTGGGGGGCGGGGGTGGGAGGAGGTCTTTCTGGAGGAAGTCCTTGGACTGGAAGAGGGCGTGCTGTGGTTTAGGGAGAAAGATGACGAAGGGCCCCAGGTGGTCCTAGAACCCTTAGCTGGAGCCTGGATTGACCCCCTTCCCCACCTCCAGCAGCCGAAGTGCAGCTGCAGGCCGAAATGAGGGCGCTGCATGAGCAGCTCACCGGCACTTTTCAGCAGGAGATGGATGCACGCAGGCGTCTGGCGGAGCTGGAGAAGCGGGCCACGGAGGTCGAGCATGAGATTGAGGCCGTCTGCGGGTTGCTCACCACCGCTAGGTACGCAGCTCCCTCTTCCCTCTGGGTCCTTCTTGGGCCCAGGACGTAAGAGCTGGGAGCTGTGGGTGTGCCCTGTCCCATGGCCCGACCTCATATTTCCCTGGGGCGGGGCAGCTGGAAGCACAAGAAATCCGGCAAAGGCCTGAAGTGTCAAGCGGAGCTGAGGAAGAAGTGCTCCGACTTGGGCAATGACATCCTAGAGCCACCTGAGGTGGCCTCAGCCCGGGAGAGCATCCCCGCCCTTCTGGAGGAGCAGAAGAAGCTCCACAGGGAGAAGGTGCCCAGGGCTTGGCGGGCGTGGGGGTGAGAAGGGGCAGAGTGACTGGGGACCCCAGGAGGAGGGCAGCTGGGACCGCAGGCTATAAACCCTGGGTGACCTCGCCAGGTTTCAACCCTCTCTGTGCCTCAATTTCTTATCTGTAAAATGGGAGCCCTCACAGTGCAGCCTTCATGGGGTCTTTGGAGAGATTAATGCCTGGCCCATGCCCAGGGTTCAGAACACAGTAGCAAATGTGATGGGGTTTTCTGGATAACAGCTCTGTCCCTTCTGATGAGGCAGACTCCAACCAGGGGGCTTCAGAGGATTATGAACCCTGAAGGTGGCACGGCCTGGGGTTGACCAGATATCCACAGAGCTGGCTCCAGTGGTGGGTGTTAGTCAGGGTGGTAAGAAAGTGGGCAAAGAGAGGCCGCCTTGGAACAGCCCCTGGTTACAAGGGTCTAGGTACAGCTTCAGGGATTGGCATGGAGTGCCTGCTGGACACCAAGAGTCCAGGATCTGGAAAGAGGACAGGCACAGCAGGTGGGCACTGCCTGGTGCTGACCTGGCATCCTCTACAGTTGGTACTGCAGCAGCACTGCCAGCAGGAGCTGCGCACCCGGTGCCAGCGCCTGGAGGAGATGCTGCTTCGGCTCCTTGGCTCTGAGGAGCAGCGGGAGGTACTGAGTTTGCTGTACCAGCTACACAAATCTGAGATGGAAAACACCGAGGCGCAGTTTCACGCGCTGCTCCGCATGTGCGACAAGATCATCAGGGGCCAGAAGCATATCATTGACGGTAGGGCCCAAGCCCCTCTCCACCTGGACCAGGCTGCTCTGGAGAGCCCTGGGCCCATGCTGAGCCATGCCTCTGCCTCCACAGATCACAACCTGCCCGTCCCGCAGCACCTGGAGGACCTCTACTCAATGTATCACCTGGAGCAGGAGGAGTGTGGCCTAGAGCAAGTCACCATCACCGACCTGGACCTCGGGGCCTCCAGGGCCAGGAAGGTGGGTGTGTGAGGGGCGACAGCCCTGGGAGTATGCAACTGCCAGGGAGGGGCCGCCACCCACAGTGGGATGGGACCGGCTGGAGCCCCAGGGAGCTGCTTTCCTTGCCTTCTTAGCCCATCCCCCACCTTGCCAAGCCAAGTAAGGTCTTCATCCCTGGGCATTCCTAACTGGTACTTGTCCCCACCCAGACTCTGAGGGTCGGGGTTGGCCATGTGAGATCTCACAAGTGGCCCTAGGTGACCTCCCAGGAGACCGGGGCATTCAGCGGTGCCGCTAAGGCTGCCTAGCAAACTTCAGCCTCCTCCTGGGGATCCAGGACCCACCCCACTGCCCCTCTGGGGCTTCCAGCCCATGCGACAGCCCTTGTCACTCTGTGTGCCTTTGTCACCCAGTGGAGGGCCACGCCTTCTGACTGTCCCCTCCTGTTCTCCCCTCTCTAGGATAGTTTCCTGCCCAAGATAACCCGGGACGTGGAGAGGTTGAATTCTGAAGGCAAAATCACTACCCTACCCCACCTCACCACAGAGAGGTGAGGCTACTTCTTTCAGTCCCCTTTCCTACACTTCAGGGGCTGGGGGCAGTGTAACCAGATCAAGAGTCAACAGGGAAGTTGGGGACTTAACAAAACGGAGGTCCGGAGCCTCCCTTCCTACCAACAGCTTCCACCCTAGGGGGCCGGACCTCAGTGCCACCAGTAGCCACTCATCTTCTGCCAACCTTAGTAAATTACACCATGCGCGCACAGTCAGACCCCGGGCCTGGCCAGCAAAGAGCTCCTCTGTGCCCACCCCACCTCCCATCCCGGTAGGCAGCCTGGTAACCCAGGAGGTAAGCTCCCGTAATCCACTGACCCCACAGGGCTGCTGCTGGGGGTGGGCACTGATGGGTGGACACCCAGCAGTTGGGATGCAGGCTTCCCAAAACGGGCACCCCGAGGCCTGCTGCCTCTGCCAAGGGGACACGGGGTCCCTGCTGGATTCAAAACTTTCCTCATCCCAACCACTTTGCTCCAGGCCCCACCTGCAGAGAGCCTTGGCTACCACCTCACCTCTTCCCCCGAGAGTGATAAAAGTCTACCTGCGATCCCCTTGGCCCCAAAAGGTACGTGTGGCCCCCTGCCTGACATCATCTACACTGCTCAGATCGCCCAGCCCAAAGCCCTGCCCTCCCCTTTGCCCTGCTCCATGAGCCATGCACCGGGTGCTGCCTGTTCTGTAGAGTCAGCAGTGCCCCCCGGGGTGTCAGCCGCCTGCTCAAGGACACAAGAGAGATGGAAGCACAATCAGAAATTAAAATGGGGACACCTGACACTAAAACACCCCCCCACACCCAATAATAATCGCAATAGCAAAGGCCAGTCGAATCTCTGTCCCCCGGATACGGTAGCTAAGCCCATTGTCTCAGTGTTCTACAGGGTTAGTCTTGGCATCCCTGTTTACAGATGAAAGAAAGTAAAGCTCAGTGTGTCCTAAATTCCTTAAATAGCAAAGGCATTGGGTGCTGGGGGCAAGGGTACCCTGGCTCCTGCTCATTGCTGCCACAGCAGAGGAAGGGTGTTGGGAGGTGGCCTTGATCCTGGTTGGCATTCTTGTGTCCTCTGCAGAGGGAAAGGAGACCCTGACCAGGTGCGTCTCAGCCAAGGCTGTCCAAGGGCTCTCACAGGCCCAGGCTGTAGAGGGGCGCCACCTGCTGGCATCTGCCACAGAACGAAGCAGCCAGTCTCTGAATTCACTAAACGAGGCTGATGACGCTGGGCCACCCAAGCCCACACTGCAGCATTCAGCCAGTGAGAACAATCTGCCCAGAGGCACAGATGAGATCCCCTTCCATTTGATTGGGCATCATCAGGGTGATGGCCCCAGGCCCTGTCTGGGTGGCCAGAAGAAAAACATAAAGAAGAAAGAGGAGTCACTGGAGGAAAAGATGAGGAAGCGGAGGTCCCTTGAGGTCACAGGGCAAGGGGTGAGGCAAAGGATGGGGGCTAGGTGGGAGGGATCCTGAGGGCTGAGCTCCTCTGGGGACCCCTGGGTTCCTCCAGCCCTGCACTGCAGCTGGAGGCATCATCCTCAGCATCGCCTCTACCCCACACCCCACAGTGCTGGGGCAGAGGCCTGCACAGCTCTGGGCCTCACCTCACTCTTCTCCAACCAACACAGCTCTCCCGCCCCAAGACGACACATGTCCCCCGTCCCCCGGAGAGCACCGGGGACCGCAGGGTGCCAGCATACAGGCACCCAGTAGCTGGAAACCAGCATCCAGGAAAAGGAAGTCTGCCTCTGGCCCAAATCAGACCCCCTCCCAGCGAGGGCTCCGGTCAGTACCAGCAAGGGAGGGAAGGGGAAGCCTTGGCCAGCCTGGGGAGGAGACAGGTCAGGCTCCTGCCCCTGTACCTGCCCCTGACAGAAGCGTGATTCTCAGAGTATTCAAGCAACTGATCCTGACTCTTTCCTGTTGTATGTAGGCTCTGAGGACACTTTGCCCCTTATCACCTGGAAAAAGGTGGGCATTTCAAAGCGGCCTACTTATGGGCCGCACCCACCCCATGGAACAAGTACCCAGGACAAGGATGGGCTCTTCAGGCATACGTGAAGAGCCCTGCCTGGGGCCAGCTGCTCCTCCACCCTGCCCTGGAGGCTGAATGAGGTGCAGCTGGGAATGGGGAAACAGAGGGGGGCAGATGAGGACCACATGGGACAGGAGCTCAGAAGCTCAGAAGGCCAGGGCTCCTGAGACCCACAAATTCAGGGGTGTCTGCTTTCATCATGGGGGTGGAGTAAGCCCAAGAGGCATAGCCACCCCCGGGCACAGCACTATTGCCAAAACCCTGCCCAGACCTGTGTCAGTCTCGGCCTTGCCTGTGGGGAGTGGAGCCACAAGTGAGACAGTGTTCCTGTCCACACCAGGGCGAGGGCATGGTGGAGCCCTGGAGAGGGGACTGACTGGCCTTCCAGGAGGGTGGCTGGGGTGGGGAAGGAATCTAGGTTTGGAACTTTGCAATGGCTTTTTCTTCCTTCTTTTTTAATAATAAAACCCCATTTGTGTTTTCATGGTTGTGTTGGAAACCAGACCTCATCTGAATGTGGATCGGCTATGACAGATTCAACCAGCTCCCTTCCTCCTCCTCCCCAAATCGCCCTCCTCTCCCCCTGGCTGGGGAAAGGGTTTTCCTCTACATCCAAGGCCCCTCCCCAGGAAAGGCAGGGCTAGAGCAAGGTCCAGTTTGTGCCCACTTCCCAGTGACCTTCACACTTGCCAAGTCCCCCTCCTAGGAGAGAGGCCTTGGGGTAGCACCCACAGAAAACCTCCCAGTTTAGAGGAGGTAGCTGGGCCCTGCAGATCAGGGCTCAAAAACTGACCAAGTCCCTCAGCTGAAAGGTGAGAAAACCCCCGCCAAGGGTAGGCACCCTGGTGTCCCTGCTGTCCCGTTCCAAGTTGGGGTGGGGGCTCTCAAGGAAAAGCTCCGTGAAGGTCAGGGAACCCCCAGATTTATCTCCCTGGGTGTTCTTCCCTTAGAACTGGTGGTTCATTCATCCCTTCATCTCTCTGAGCATCTGTTTATTCAGGACCAGGAATGTTGCCTTTGAGTTGGCTGTGGAATGAGCTCCAGAGTCCAGGCATCTGGTCTACCGCCATTCACCTGGAACCCACCCTAGGCCCAACCAGCCGATGTCTGGCCACCAGGGGACCAGGCTGCCAGTCCCCTCCGTACTCGCTTCACCCTTCCCAGGCCTTGGTACGGGCTAGGCCAGGCCATTTTCCCCGATCTACTTGGGGGTCCGGATGAGGGTGTGGTAGACGGGCTTGACGATGAGGTGCAGATGCAGCGCGTTCTCCACCAAGTACTCGGAGTTGCGCCGCTGCAGGTCCGCGTGCGCCAGGAAGTCGCCAACCTCCTCGCTGCTCTGGTGGAAGCTGTAGGTGTGGCGGACCAAGAGACGGCCCTGCTGGCGGGCTCCCACCAGCACGGTCTTCTGGAAGCTCACGCCCGCGGCGTCGCCACCACTACTGGCCGGCGTAACCACTAGCCGCGGCCGGCCATCCTCAGG